GAAATCTGTGAATTAGTATAATTCACAATTTTCCAGATTGATAATCATTGGATAATATTATATAAAATGCTATATTGACTTGTAAAGAACAATATATATTATATATATTGTTATAACTTTATAGAATTTGAATTTAGACCGAAATTCAATTTCTGATGATCAGAAATTTTTCTTCAGAATATTATGTTTAAGTATGAAATCATAGAAAAGCCTTTGACATAACCATATATTGTACAATAACCATTTAATTATAGCATTACTGAAAGATAGTCATGGTCAAAAGGGGGATAAAGTAACTTTTCGTTTAAACACTGAGGGTAGATATAACTTTGAAGGGGTAAAACATGACGACTGATCTAAACTACTGGAAGAGGGGGTATAAGTATCCTCTCTATACTATCACGTGACTCTGATACTATTGATTGGTTTCTTCACAATGTCTTAGGTATCTATTCATTATATAATCAGCATCGCTCTATGTGCCTTCTTTTTTCTTTATCGAATATTATATATCTTATCTAGTTCCTACCAGCACCTATACTAGCCCCGTGATAGAATATATACTAAATAATAATGAAATTGAGATATATTAGAGTTTAAATAGAGTTACTTATAATCTAAATTAATTATAATAATATCGAAAAGATTAAATATTTATTTTGATATTGAATCTTTGATTTTTTATTAAACAAAATTTCATCTTATAAAAATCATTTTAAAAAAGGTATATAAAAATATTATAATATGAATATAAATCTCAAATCATTGATATTTCATAAATTAAATAAACTATAACTTTTTCAAATCTTATTTAATTTAAATGAAATTTTCTATATCGATTATTTTAACAAAATTTTACAAAATTATATGAAAAACTAAGCTAGCAATAGTTAATTTGATTTTTGCGTATATATCTTTTAAAACCCCGCCGAATACAAAATTAAAATTTTATATATTAGACTTTAATAACTTTTTGCAAAATTTTACTAAAATTCTGAAAACTTTATATCAAATCTAATAACTACATAAAGAATCTATAATGTTATCAATTATTTCGACGAGTAGAATCTCAAATAAAATTGTATATAAAATATTTTGTTTGATCTTTTAAGATGTATCTATAATTATTAATTATTATTTCAATTTTCATTATATTATAATAATCAAAAGAATTCATATTCAATATTAAAGAGGGTGTGTTTTGGTATAAGAATAGGCTTTTGTATAAACTCAGTTCAGATTACTATATAAGTATATACTCAGTACTCGAGTATAAGTGAATATATCAATTGAGTAAACTCATACCGAGATAGTTATTCACAAGAAGCGAAGGCTGTTCTCTTTTTCTAGTCCGCCCCTTACTAACCATCATCTACTCAACATGATTATACCGACATCAAATATATCATCTTCTCCTCTGATATCATCTCATCCTGTCTTCAACCCCACATTTTAACTCCAAAACATTCACCAATTCCCCTTCCTACAATTAGACCAACACCACTTGAAACCAATACATCACAAAAATCTTTCAAAACACAATCCCTTCCCTTTCTATCTATGGTATCTGGAGGTATTTTCTATACAAATCTTCTCTGAAGCTTTTGTCCAGTTCGTTCCAAATTCCGGTTAGATGTCTTGGGTCCATCCACCAATACAAGCCCTCCACACCTAGGAAGAAGAAACGCCTTTCTAATGTCAGCCAATGCGAGTAAAAGTGGTTTCATATGTTATCCCTTTCACTTCAATATTGACCATTGTACAATCCGCCTCCCCATCAATTATTACATGCCACATCACTCCCTTTTTTTTTATCCATCCCTACAAGCCAAACAATAAGCTCGCTGCAACCACACCAGCGACCAATCCCGCACCTGAAATCTTTTTATTTCTCGCCGCAGCAGCAGTAACCGTAGCTTTATTAACCGAAGCCGAAACCAGTGTTGAGGTGGCCGTAGTTCTCTCAGAGCCAGGTCCCGAAGCAGTAGATGTTGGCTGTGTAGAGGTATCAATTAGTAAAGCCGTTGAAGATTTCGAGGATGCAGATGAAGTAGAGGTTGTAAAAATCGCAAGGGTCGACAAAGCAGTTGTGAGATGACTAGACAGAAACGAGGATGGTGCAAACCAGGCAGTGGAATTTGTATATACAGTGGTACTACGGAGAATACTGACTGTGGTTGTTGTGTCGAAAGCAGGCGCAGAAGTTGTCAAAGAAGAAGTAGTAGACGATGTCTCAGAAGAGGAGATTGTAGAGAACGATTCTACAGTAGAAGAATGGATTGCAGTAGGAGCGTGCACCTCAAAAGAGGGCGGTACAGTAGAAGAGATGATTGCAGTGGAGAGCGTAGAAGAAGAGTCTGCAGAAGGGTGTGTAGTGAAAGGGGGAATTTCAAGGGAAGAATGTACCGTAGGAGGAGAGATTATAGAGTTAGTAGTGCATGGAACCGTGGTACTTTCCCTGATAGTATCCATTGCGATGATGTCCGTGGATGATTCAGTGGCGTCGGGGCTGCTAGCACTGGTGATATTAGGCCCATCACTACTGAAACTTGAAATGGTGGGTGTGCTTCTAGTACTTGTAATGGAGGACGGTATCGAAGAAGATGCTGATTGAACAAGTGCTTCGCCCTTGACAATTGGTGGTGCAGCGGAAGAGACCAGTAATCCTTGGATGACTTCCAGAGCACTCATTTGCTGTCCGATACCAAATGTTCCATCAAACCCCACATACCATTTGGTGCCACAAGCATTAGCATCTCCGGTACAAATATTAGCCGCTGCGGATGCGGATTTTGTGAGATAAGTCGAAATTGTGTTCTTGGTGAAAGGTGCCATTTGAGTGGTTGCCCACATGAAACGTGAAAGATATGCTTTAAAGGAGTATTGGTCATTATTGCAAGTGCTAATTGTTTCGCATGCTTGTTCGTACATGATATTTTCAGGTGTGAAGAAGTTGGCAGAGGCTTTTAATAACCCCTGAGTTCGTGATTGCCAAGTAGAATCAGTAGTGTAGTTGTACATAACAGCGGCTCCGTATAAGAAGATAGCATTGTTGTAGCTCCAAGTGATCTCATTTGGATCGCTGCATCCTTTGGTGTCATCGGCACCGTCGAAAGTGTTAAAATCCGAATCAATCAATCTTATTTCGGTAGTCCAATCATAAACCTTCTCCGCCCAATCGACGTATGTTTGGTTTCCAGTATATCGTGCAAGACGTGCGGAAAGCTGGAAGAAAGCTCCGTTGGATACAGAGTTCTTGTATGTATATCCATTGTTGAATGAGAAGATTTGCCATTTCAATCCACCACCACAAGAAGATGCATCCCAGCGAGCGGCTTGGGTATTCCAAAGATTCTCTGTCAACTCTACCCAAGTAAATCCACCAGTATTTGAGGGTTGGGGGAAATTCTTCTCTGCAGCAGACATGGTAGCAAATCCCCAGAAGGCTTGATCATCATTTCCTTCATCCTTTTGATGATTGGGCATCATGTAATCGAAGAGGGGACCGACCTGAGATTCCAGGGCTTGTATAGTAACATCGTTATATGAAGAATCTCCGGTGTAGTGATAATAATCGAGCATGGTCCCCCACATTGCTCCAGCTTCCCACCAATAATATGGTGCTGGTAGTACTGCGATAGTTTCTGGTGTATTGGTGACATTTCCGGTATAATATTTCATAAGACCGTGAGCAATGATACTTGCTGCATTCTTGATTGAAGCTGTAAAAATTGTCAGTAAAGAATCATGAGGTCATAGATGAGGGGAAAAAAAGAGGCATACTTGGGTCAGAGGTATTAAGTGTAAGACCAGATACTGATTGAGAAAGCGAGAGTGCCAAAAGAGCAATTCCTAATAATCTTGTGGAAACCATGTTGTCGATTATGAATGAGAAACGAGAGAAGACGGAAGACGATGGTTGGTATGGTAAAGAGGAAGTAGAAGGAGAGAAAAGAATTGGCAGAACGTAATAATTGGTAACAAGTGCTGGGTACTAAGTAGTAGTTTGACTTAGTACGAGTAGATAGTTCGGAGTGGATTCCTAGTAATTCCAAAATATGGCACGATCTTAAAATATTGAGATCATTCACCTCAAAATGTATTCTCAGGTTGATCGGAGATGGAGATGGAGTCAAAATGTTTTTGTTCTGAGTTTTCAAAAGATTTGTTGTTTATTCGTACAATTGATTCCGAATTTGAAAATAAATTTGGTTATTGAGAGAGGTTCATTCAATCTTTCCAGATTAGGCAATTTGAAGTATCTGGGGACGGCTGTTTCATGAGCTGAGTTGTCAATGTAATAGATTTTAACCAATATGAACTCATAAACGGTATTAAGCTAAGATAAAATGAGATTAAAACATCAAGTGAATGCCAGCTTACTTACTATTTGACTTGAAATAAATGAAGGGCCAAATGAGTGAAGGCCAAGTTGAATTGCAAAGAAAGCAATTTCAATGAAATGGGTTTTCAGGATAGGCTTCATCTAAAGGATACGAAAGGAGAAGAGATTGAATCAACATTAATTATCTGCTTACCTATCTGATAATATTCCTTCGTTTATTGTAAAGGAAGGAAGATAGGATTGAACATGTCCTAGGTTTCATCCAACAAACATTTTATTTTAAATAGGCTGAGAGTGATTTCACTTGGTGGGACAACATATCGTATCCGTTGTCAATGTTTTTGAAGATTTTATTAAAGTTCATTATGGGATGGGTTGAGATGGGATGAGATGGGATGAGATGGGATGGGATAGGATTATATTTGCCTACCCAGGTATCGTTGAAAATCTTTCCTTGCTCGAGACCAAGAGGGATCAGCATCAATTGAATACAATGATGGATAGGTGGGGTATAGTAAGGATTTGGATCTTGATCTTGATCTAGAGATACCGGTACTCATACCGCCAGAAAGTCCTCAATTCGGGTAGTTAGCATATATAGGAATATCCTGGTTATTTTAGTTCCCAAGTTGCAGACTTTCTGGCAGCTTTAGTATTTAGATTAATAAAGTCTGAATCTGGGGAAAATGCTTTGACGTTGGAGGGGATCATCAATTTTATTTTTAGAACTTCAGGATTTCACGTGTTTTCGAGTTCACTTCCACGAAAATAAGTTGCATTGTCATTGTACTCATACAAACTAAAACTGTATGTCGCGAATAACTTCTTTTCTCGTCTATTCAATCAAATCTCTTTATCCCTTCTCTCTCATAAGTTTCATCCTACAGGAATATAGGAATCTATACCGTGAAGCAACAAACGGAAATGGATTATCAAACCATACATGGCCCAGGAAGATCAAATTTCTCTTCATCTTCCCCACGTAAGTACTCGAGTTACCCAATCTTCATCACAATTCCTGCGCCACAACAAAACTCCAGGCTGATGAAGTTCTAGACCGCATGCCTACGGTTTCCGCGGCCCAAGCCTTGCAAGGATTGGAAACATCTCCAACGCGATGGATATCGACGGGGTTGAAGCATTTGGATTTAGCACTTCAAAATAAAGATCCATTGCAAGTATCCGCAAGTACGTATCATAATTATGGCGGTATCTCGAGAGGAAAAGTAACGGAATTTTATGGCCCGTCTGGTGTTGGCAAAACTGCTTTTGGGTAATGCGATATACTCAGGAGTTTGAATACTTGTATGTCACGTATACTGATTGCATATAGTATGCATTTGGCCGCCACGGTTTTACATCGAAATGAAGGGGTTGTATGGGTAGGTACGTTACCTTTCTTTTACATCATTACCACGAAGCTGCTACTCATACACGATTTCGTATTGGATAACTTTCTACAAGCCCTCGATTCTTAAATCCCAAATACCCTTTTTCAATTTTGATGCTATCATCCACTATGAAGTATTGGATATCGAAATTCTTCAGAATGTTCTCAACTGATAATAACAGACGCATCACATCTAATATCCGGGCCTAGATTCAGTCAAATCTTACAAGAGTTTCCATCTCCAGATTTCTCAAACTATCATGGACTTCTCACACAATTTAATCATTTTTGTACACCAACTTTATCTCATCTTCTTGCCTTACTTACTCATACCGCATCAAACTTTCCTCCCGAAAACACCAGTCTGATTATTATCGATTCATTCTCTACTCTGATCGATAATGCATTCCCTCGCAATTTCGATTCTATATCTCCCAAGAAGCCCGGAGGTATGTTGCAGTTCAAAATTCCTCACAAATCATGGCTTTCTTTACCCATCCTCTTACATCTCCTTCTATGTATGAAACTAAACCTACCAGGTCCCAAGTATTCTTCACGCAAATTTCCTCTCCTCCAATACCTCATCAACGCCCTCCAAAGACTTGCCACCACTCGCAACATCGCTATCCTGATTCTGAATCAATGTGTAACCAAAATGCGACCTGGTCTGGGTGCAGCTCTAATACCAGCCATCTCAGCCACTGCATGGGAACACGGTCTTGGGTGCCGAGTAGCTTTATTTAGAGATTGGGGATGGGATAATGAGGATGGGGGCAAAGTGAACGGTGTGAGATTTGCACAAGTTATTAAAGCGGAGAGTGTTACTTTATCGGAGGGGAGGGGCGGAATTTCTGCGTTTGTTGTTGGAGAGGTAAATTATTCATCATACTCATGGTAGAAATCTCCCGGTATCTAAAAACTAACATGAGGCCCAAAGTTCGGTATCTCCGCAGTCACACTCCCCTCACCATCAACATTTGCATCACCTAGCCGGGGCCTTCCTTCACTCCCTAAATCCCAGCTCCCCATCGCTACTGGTCTACCTCCCCAAAAGCGCAAGCGTGCAGAGTTTGAAATACCGGATAGTGACGATGAAGATGATGAAGATTATGGATGGGCAGAAGAAGATGAAGAATTACCGCCTATGCCTCCTCAATGGCAAGGTAGTGAGGATATATTGGTGCCGCCGCCTGGGGAGATGGAAGCTGAGGAGGAGTTGGAGGAGGCGGAAGAGAATGAGGGAGCTATAGAAGGTGATAAAGATGGAGACAATTACCATGCAGAACGTCTTCTGGAAATAAAAAAGACAGGAACATACAGAATAGAGCGAGAACTTCCAGATAGTGAAGATACATTAGCTCTTTAGGTTTATTGGTACTTTATTTTGACCTTAGGCTCACTAATAGATTATAAGACTTACCATCTACTCGAGTAATCGAAAGGAGAAAATCATTAAAGCTCAATGAAATTAATAAGATCTAAAATCCATTTTTCATATCAAGAGTCATCTTTAGATGATAACATAATTAATTCTTGGATGTTTTTCGGCTCAACATAATATCCAAATTTCAAATCGATATCTATACGAGTATCTAGGGGATATCATCCTCGACTCGAGGTCTAACGTTATTACAGCTACGGGTAAATAAATATATGTGATTATCTTGGACCAAACATGGTGAAGATCTGGCAATAGATGTATGCTGTAATGAAATGACATATAGAGTTTCTATGGTTCCTGTCTATGATTGGTTGTGCTATAACATTAGGGGGGCACCTAACGCCAGCCATAGCTCACCGCTTTTACTTTGAGTAAGACTAACTGGCAGAATTACTCACAATCTATTTGATAATACTTTCGTAAACATGTCGGGCATCATCTCCACCACTTTCTCCGCAACATCAAACAATTCGTAAAGCTTCCTTCAACACAACGCGTCAATTACACCTGCTAATAAACTTCAGTTCAAACCAATTACATTCAGACACTTTTCACAACACGCATTTTCTCTTTTACGGATCTTCAGAGCACTTATTGACGCGACGCGCATTGCCAAAATGGCTGTCCACGATGCTGCGCCGAGCTACATAACTTTCGAAAGCAGAGTGGCATCTTACCGCTATGCACAACCTATTACTGGTCGTAGAACATCGACCGCTGGATCAAGAGCTCCAAAAAGTCTCAAATGGCCTCACAAGTTCCTATTGCCAGAACAGGTATGAAAAACTGCATCTATGTTGGCGGGTCGCTCGCTAATACGGCTCAAAGCTTGCAAAGGCAGGCTTCTTTTATTACCCTTCGCAGGCTAGTCCGGATAACTGCGCTTGCTTTCTCTGCCATAGATCCATCGACTCATGGGAAGAGGGTGATGATCCATTAGTAGAGCATCTAAAACATTCTCCAAATTGCGGATGGGCAGTTGTTGCCTCCATCGAGGCACAAGATAGAGATTTGAACAATGAGTACCCTGCCAGTTTGAGAATGGTCGAGGCAAGAACTGCAACATTTGCAGGAATATGGCCTCACGAGGCGAAGAGGGGTTGGAAATGCAAGACTAAACAGGTATGGGTTGCCCTTCATCTACGATAACATTTACACTGACGTGATTACAGTTGGTCAACGCTGGGTGGAAATATACTCCAACTTCAGATTCGAACGATATGGCTACCTGCACTTATTGTTCATTGGCATTGGATGGATGGGAACCATCCGACAAACCATTGTATGTTCGGACAATTTTCCAATGTCTACAAAAACTAACTTCTTCCAGGGAAGAACATTATAACCGTTCCCCCGACTGTCCTTTTTTCACACTCATCGACGATCATAATTCAGAACTTGCCTTGAAAAAATCAACAACTACTAAAAAGGCTAGAACATCAAAAGCATCTCGATTATCTACACAATCCGCTGTTACTGTTGCCAGCGATGCAGCTGAAGAAGAAGATGAAAAAGGCAGCATTATCTTTACAGCTACAACAAAGGGTAAGACATCTGGGCTTAAATGTCGGAAGACTAAGGCCAAGAAGATCGAGCCATCCCGATTATCTACACAGTCCGCTATTACCGTTGCCAGCGATGCAACTGCTGAAGAAGGAGACGGCATTATATCTACAGCGACAACAAAAGGCGAGGCGTCTGGACTCAAGGGCCGTAAACCTAAAGCCAAGAAGATCGAGACAATTGAGGTTCCCGAAGCCCCAACAGCATCTACTATCCGTGGCAGAAAGAGGAAGAGCGACGACGAGACCTCTCAGCCTGACCTTCCAAAACGAGAACCGAAAAGACGCACTACAAGGAGCAGTACGGCACGAGTTTTTCCTCAAGCATCCGCTGCACCACTGCGAGCACCAACCTTTACAGACTTGCAGAGCCAGGCAGCGGCTTCGAATTTACTTTGGATGGAAGGTTCTCCTCCTCGATCTACTCCTCCCCTATCACCACCTCAATCTCCAGTCGTAGATAATCAATTTTCCGACACAGAAAATCAATCCTCTGATGCGGAAAATCATCTCCCTGAGAAACCTAATACCCCTCCAAATCGACATTTAATGGTACCTAAAACTACCAAACAATGGAAGGCCGTAGATGCAGAGATGTTTTTCGGTGATGAAGAACACGAGCATTTCGTGACCGCAATGTCAAAACTGAAAACAGGAACTTTAAGTAAAGCTGAAAGTCAAATGTCCGTGGAACAGTGGATCTACTACACCGCCGAGGTTGCCCAAGAAAAACTTCGCGAGGAGTGTGAGCGAATGGTAGCCGCATTCGAGGCTCAAGGCATGGAGGCTTTAGCTTGCTTAGAAGCAATCGAGATTGTTTGAACTTGCTTTGAACACTCGTCGTTCTATGATACATTGGGACCATGGGAGGCGTAAGGTTTGTAGTCCCCGGTTGGACACGAAGGACTATTGGCGTTTGGTGGTTATTGGAGTTTTCCCTCTTCTTCTCCATACAATAAACAGAACCTGTTGATTATCAATCAATCATTGTTCAAATATTGTACAAACATTATGATTTATCTTGTTATATCTAGTGACTTAAAGTATTGACTTCTGGAAAGTACTTACCCACCCTAAGAGATAGATGAAATAAATCGCATACGAAACGCGACATATACTTATACCTAGTAGGTACTAGATCTATACCACGTGACATAACACTCTTCGATATCCTAATTTGGATATGATAATCAGATAGTTCTCTCATGCTTGGTTACTCAAAGGCCGTCAAACGATCTGATATAGAAATTTGAAAGAAGTATGTCTTTTGCTATGCGAATTATTTCATACTTGAGTGCCCCCTTGACTCCAATGTCCCCTAGATACCCCGGCCTTATTTTTACACAACATAGCAAATACAATCAACCAATCATTACAGTCCCATCTCCTTTCTTCTCCTCATGAAATTCCAAAGTCAGTGCCGCCAAGAAACACGGAATACTGCCTCTTTCATTGACCCAGAACTTGATATTCTCCATTATTCTTCCAGCGAATTTACTTTCCGGACCCCCGCTAACCTTCATTGTTCCCCTCTCACCATCAAACACGATACTATTTTCCTCTTCTCCGACTGAAGGATAATAAAATGAAGTTACGCGCATTTTCCCATTAGGCATGAAGACAACGTCCCAACCCAAGAGAGAAGACACACCATCACGAAATTCTTGCGATTTAAGGCCCCAAACCTTTTTAAGACGGTCGTTTCGGGTTCGTTCATCCCTGAATGCGGCTTGCGATTCTGCGACGAGATCTTGTTGCGTTTGGAGGGTGGAGAGAGGAACTGACGCGTTTGGGGGAAGACTGGTGGCGAGCTGGGAGAGGAGATCAGCATTCTCGGCACGAAGAGCGGTGATGGTGGAGAGTTTGACGGCCTCGAAGTCAGCGGTGGGATTGGAGCGAAGAGAAAGTATGCGGGTGTGGGAGTGCGAGGTTGCGGCTGTGAGGCGTTCCTGTGTGACAGAGAGTTCTTTCTGAATGAGCTTTTGGGAAGTTTGGAGAGTTGTGATGGTGTCCTGGAGTTTACGATTTTTGCGATTCAGAGCACCTACACGCTCGTTTTCATCTGTTTCTTCTCGTGGGTGTTTTGTACCAGCGAGTGTTGTAGTGGTAGGTTGTATTGACTCGGCGGTTGTAAGGTCGGTTTGGAGGATTTGTACTTCTTGACGATATTGATCTACGATACTTTCGAGCTCTTCAATACGTTGAATTTTCGCATCGCCAACGTTATCGCCAGCTCCAAAGGCTTCGTCTTCGGCATCAAAAGTCTTGAGCTGCGCACGCAAATATTCAACTTCCTTGATTGCCAAAGCCCGCTGTCTCTCAAGTCGCATACGAGCCTTCGCGTCTCCACCAACGGCGCTGCTTCCCGCCGCCTTGACTTTCTCCATCTCCTCGCTCATAGACCTATTTTCGTCTTGTATGCCGCCTATGATATTGTTCTTGTCAAGGACCTCAGACTCCATAGCGCCAAGTCGTTCCATTAATGTGGCAGTTCTCATCCTCTCTTCAACTAGTGCTCTTGCTAAATCTTCCGGAGAATCAAACTCGAACTGGCCTTCAATACCATTTTGATCTTGGAGGTAGGCAGTCCAAGCCAAACGCTCATCTTCGAGCCTTTGTCTTTGAAGTCTTGCTTCCCCAAGCTCATTTTGTAGGTCATCCATGGCCTCGACCTTTCTCTGCAAGCTTCGTTTTTCTTCTTCAACGACTTCCACACTCTTATGTAGTCTCTTATAATGCTTCAACTCAGCCGATTGCTCTCGATTGCTTGCTTCCAAATTTCGAATGTGTGTGACCTGCTCGCTCAATTCTCTCTTGATTATCTCAAGTGTATCAGTATCCCCAGTCTGAGCCTTGAGCCGTAAGACTTCAGCTTCAAGCGCTCCGTTTGCCGCTTCTTTAACGGCCAATTTTTGCTGAACATCCTGTAATAAGGCCTCTCTCCGATCAGAGTCTTCCTGTAAATCTTGAACGCTACGTTGCAAGGTCTGATTCCTTGTTTCGAGCTCCGAAACTCTCCTTTCCAGTATACGACTCCCCTCTTCACTTTCTGTCTTGATGTCCTCAAGTTCCTCTTCCATGCGACGCTTATTTTCTTCTACTCCACGAACCTTTTTTTCCAATGCGGTTTTCTCTTCACTTGAAGTTTCACGGATCTCACTCATCTCTTTGAGCAAAACTTCGTATTGTCGCACTGCCTTATTTCTCTCTCCTTCTGCGATTTGTTTAAGTTTAAAATCCTCTTCGGCTTTGCGTGTTGCATCTCGGAGTTCATTTTCATGCCTTAATTCCGCAAGCTCCTCCTCCTGTTTGTGATTGTCGATTGTATATCTTAATGTTTTCAACTCGGCCTTCAACTCATCCAACTGTTTCCTTCTTTTGTCAGCCTCCTGATCGGTCTCGCTGTAGATTGGCTCATTCCTAGATTCGTCGAGAACGGTCCTGGTCGATTGTCGGAATCGGTCTGTTCGTGATGGTGGTCTATGAGTAGACTCTGCGCCTGTCAAAAAATCGAAACTCGGCTGGGTATTTGATGGACGCGCCATAGCAGTCTAACAAATAGTATCCCCGTCAGACGATTCAATTGTATGCAATTATAATTACGATGCAAAAGATCGATTCTTACCCTTGATTGCGCACGAGGGATGGCACTACCCATACTCATTCTATGTCCACCACTGGTTGAGGATGTTCTTCGTTGAGAGTCTCCCAGGCCCTGGGGAGTATGCGCCCTCATTCAGATGATTTACCGCTACTCGCGGATTTGCTGTGGTGTTGTGTCGATGGTTGTCGCAAACGTGAAGATACAGGGCTGAGGATGTAGAAAGGTAGATCTGGCCATCGCTTATCGCACACTTAGCGAAACTTGACAGATTCTCGATTATTATTAATTATCATTATCAATAATTAAAATAATATTTAGAATAATTTTAATAATTCTAATAGCTCTAAGAGAGTTATTGAAAAATCGAAAAGTCGAAAAGTTTATAAATATAATATTTTTTCTAAAATGTTCTATTCAAATTTCTAATAGATTTAGATAGTTAATTGTTTTAAAATAAATTTTAAGTTTTTATATAATGATCTCAAAGTTTTATTATAGGGTTAAAAAGTTGAAATAACAGCTTTTTAGGTTTTATAATCGTTAAGTATACGATAAGTGATGGCTAGAACTCTTAGAAAATATGGAGAAGTTGTTGGCGGGGGGGAAGAGTCAACAAGATAAAGCGGGATCCGAATCCTGCTGACTAAGGTAAGATAAGCTTTTGAGAAAGAAATGGTGGGTTTCATCGAAAGCTCCATTCTTTCTCATAGACCCATGGACATTCAACAACGTATTCATATGGCGAGAAACAGCCGGTGACAAGTTCGCAGCATCTCGCTGCTTTGAAGTAAATAATTAAATACACACAACCAGCTACTTCATATGGGATAATATCTCCTTAACATCCAGTACAATGGCAACTCGAAGGCTTCCTGTATGGGCACCAATTCCCTCCCATTCTCATATGCTTTTTAGCTAACAGCTATTTGGCAGGCTTTGAAAGCTCTCGGGCCAACCAGAGTATGGTCCTCAGCTACATATACACATGCAAGATGGCCATATCAACCGATTCGTCGTACATTTTCTATGACATCTAGTCCTGCTTTTGCATCCAAGGGAACTATAAGCTCACAGGTAGAACCTGTGGATCACTCTGATTTAGCATCTGGAAAATCCTCATCGACTTCTCCTTCCAATTCATCTACCTCCCCCTCCTCCACCTCATCATCGAGTGCGGCCAGTGACATTCCAGCCCCGGCAGATTGGGAAGAGAATCCGAACTACAACATCGAAAAATTCTCGGAACTACCCCATACTAATTTCGGAGTCAATCAGCATATGGTCATCAATGATGAATTTAAAGAAGCCTTGAGGCAAATTTTATGGCAGTTCAGAGCTCCCATTAGATATGCATTTGCATATGGATCCGGCGTCTTCCCTCAGTCAAAGCACACGAATGCGAAACCTTCAAGTATCACATCCATCCATTCGAAACCACCTCCTGCGATTGTTGATCAACAAGGGGGAGCTCCTAAGATGATCGACTTTATATTTGGTGTATCGTATAGTCAACATTGGCATTCCCTGAACTTAAATCAACATCGAGATCATTATTCGGCGCTCGGTGCTCTCGGATCAGGGGCTGTCACGGCTGTGCAAGAGAAATGGGGCGCTGGTGTCTATTTTAATCCATACGTCACAGTCAATGGAACCCTTATTAAATATGGCGTCGTTAATCTGGATACAATGTGCACCGATCTCTCTGAGTGGACGACACTGTATCTTGCGGGACGATTGCAAAAGCCTGTCAAAATTCTCCGGGATGACGCGAGAGTTCGTCTCGCAAACCAGGTCAATTTAATCTCTGCTTTACGAACGGCCCTTCTACTTTTACCCCCTGAATTTAGCGAACAAGAACTATATGGTACCATCGCGAATATCAGTTACCTGGGCGACCCGAGAATGGTTTTACCCACAGAGGATCCGTCAAAAGTAGCCAACATTGTGGGAAATAACCTTCCCCACTTCCGTCGTCTATATGCTCCTCTTATTGATAATCTTCCTAATGTCAACTTCAACGATGCCAAGTGCTCCGATCCAGAATGGGCATCTGATCCATCAACGAACATACGGCTGACTCAAGATATGGACCCGATTCGAAGGGGCAATATGGTGAGACGGTTGCCAAAATCTTTCCGATCAAAGCTCTATTTCCAATATCAGAAGAAATACCAAATACCTCGGCTAGAATTCGATGAAATGCTTGAGGCCTCGCGTGATGAAGATGGCACGAGAATTAATAGGAGAGAAGGAGGTGGATTCGAAAGAAGGATTGCCCGTGAGCCGCCAGAAGATCTAAGATCCGAAGTAAGGAGTGTAATAAAGAACACAGTCGGATGGCCTAGTACGAGCCAGACTTTGAAGGGACCTTTTACAGCTGGATTGAGTCGAACTTGGCGGTACATGAGTGAGAAGATATCGAAGCATTCGGAAGGGAAAAGGAGAGCTGAGGAGGTGGCAAAGGAAAAGAAACAAGACTGAGCATCATGCTAAAACTTTGTCATGATGACGACATGATTAAACGGTGAGCTGCGCTTTGTGATGTGCTGTAAATAGACCGAGTCGATTTTAGACTCATTACACGGCTCCCGATGGAAGGTTTATCGGAGACCTGGACCATTAAACATTTCTTATGTTAGCGGGCGGCTATAAATGCATATCAAGCATTGGGTACTAGTAGAAGGAAATTGGATCGCTGAAAGGATGGTAGTAATGATGAAGTGCTTCCCATGTAAAGTCAAAACCACATTAACAATAGTTATCATACGCCTTCCCACTTGTGTCTTCAATGTTTCTCAAATCATTTAATTTCAATGTTTCTCAAATCATTTAATTTCAATGTTTCTCAATTCATTTAATTTCTCTTGTATTATTGTTCTCAGCCTCAAGACATATCATATCCAGCTAGGCCTAGTCAGGGTACTTCTATTGATTATTTCTGGAGCAAAAGAACTAGTTAGGAAATTAGCAGATTCGGCTCTGAAAATTTTATCTCCAGCTGAGGGGTGCGGAAGCATCGATCCGTTCAGACCACTCTACATATTGTACCTACCCGCCACCAATGCCCAGGTGAAAATTAAAGATTGAACGAGTCACTATCAGCATTTCTTTCTGTGCCCAAATTGCACATTATCAGTCCAGGTCACCGAATGATTGACTACGATCTGCACTGACCTTCAACATGGTATTTGGTCCTCCCCTCGCCATATCAGGTGGCATCTAACAGAAAGAAAGTATATCTTAATCATCGGCTGTGGGCTTGCTGGTCTCACCATATCGATTGCGCTTGCGAAAGGAGGTCATACTGTTGAAATACTAGAGAGCTCCGCGCACATCTCACACGTTGGTGCTGGTAAACGATGCACTAAATGCACTCTAACATCTCAATCTCACTGGCGTTTACTCACAGTTTACAGGTATTCAGGTCACACCAAACTCTTCGAAAATTCTTCGAAGCTTGGGGATTGATAAGTATATTGAAGCATACTGTACCAATCCTGTGGACTTGAGGATGATGCGCTGGAAAGATGGTCAGGTTCTCGTCGAGTGTCCGTTGAAAGAACCTGCGCAAAATGATTACATGTCTCCCTATTGGTTAGTGATTGTTTCACGATCGTACACATGAACTAATAGAAACTAGGCATGTTCACCGTGCTGATCTTCATCGAGGATTACTCGAGGCTGCAACGGACCTCGGGTGCAATGTTCGATTGGACAGTCGTGTGGTCAGTATTGATCCTTTTGTGCCTACGCTTACCACACAGCATGGGAAGACCTATGCGGCAGACCTGATCATCGCATCAGATGGTGAGATTGTTCAACAATTGAACCTCCCAAAAGCTGACACTGAAGATGTAGGTCTCCATTCAATGGCTCGCGAAGTCATATTGGGTAGAGCTGGCGCGCCCATTCCAACAGGCCAGATGGCATATCGCGTAATACTCCCAGTCAAGACACTCGAGGGAATCCCGGAGTTGGAAGAAATTATCTCGATTCCCCGTAACAATCATTGGCTTGGTCCCGATGCAACCGTCCTATCATACATATTAAACGGGAAGGATGGAAAACTATTGAATCTTGTTTTCACGCGAGTACCCTCATTTCGGCTCGCCTTGGCAACGATGATAACATGTCCAGATGTGATGCAAATATGCCCGATGGGACGAACCAAAGGATTAGAGACAGTGCAGAACTTCGAGCTAGGTTCAAGCATTGGGATGCACGGTAATCACAAAATTATGAAGTGATGCAACAGCGGCTGATTAGTGCTCTAGGATTGGTATGATACTTGACCATGTGGAGACGGCATTGGAATGGAGGGTAGTAATACTTCCTTCCTTTGAGTATATTTGCTGATGTCCGCACTTCAATAGCTATATACCCACGAAGAACTAGATAGCTGGGTTCATGAATCAGGAAATCTTTGTCTGATCGGTGACGCAGCCCATGCCATGACACCTTATCTCGCGCAAGGAGCTGCGATGGGAATCGAAGATGCAGCCGTACTTGGCGCACTTCTGGAGAAATATCCTAGCAAGAACACTCTGTCACAGGTGTTATCGATGTACTGCAATCTTCGACAAAAGCGAACTGCAAATGTTGCCAAAGCCTCAATAGAATCGAGGTACTTCACGCAGATGCCTGACGGAGACATGCAGAAACTTCGAGATGAGTATCTATTGGCTCATCCTGGGATTCGCCTAAGGCATATCAATATCCGGTCCAGGCAGGAGTTTCTGGATGAACTTTTTGGCTATGATGCATACAAGGTACTGGAACACATTCCAGCACTGCTATAGTACGATGTAGAAATTAAGGTTAAATTGGCGAATGTTTTGGTAGATATTTCATTTTGTTGTATCGAATAGTACATCAGCCGGAAATCTTCACATTCTTCACATTTTTCACATTCTTCAGACTCCCCACGCTTAAATCAAATTCTTTTTGGTAAAATGCCCGGCATACATTGATCGGCATAAAGGTACAGTAGGCCGATGAGGATATGAGATTTGTATTCCAACATGCATGATGCAGCTCATAAATGATTGTGTACTGCGCTTCGAGGTTATGCTCTGATATGCCTGTTCGAGAATTTGCGAAATCGATTTCTTATGCTGATTCAATAACACAATGCCAAAATTGGGCTCGAATCCCGAAAAGACGGCAAGACAATGCCCAGCTAACTATTAGCATCAGGGTATCCAATAAATAGCCTGTACTGCACTTTAGATTTGATCTCTAAGAATACTGTAGTTCAATCTTCTTGAGGAGATTCTAGTCTTAAGTGGACCCAATGATGCAAATAACCTTACTATTTCCAAACGAATCTAATATTCAAAGGGTTGCTGGGCAGGATTGGATATGTCGGGCTATTAGTCCGGCTTGGAATAGGTAGGTCGGTTTGTGACAACATTCTGTTGCTTTAGTCTTCGGGTGGTTTTATTTGAAACTTTACTAATCAATCGCACGCCACCACTTACATGTTGTTTTGGTCTTCAAATATGCTCCATAACTCTCTATGCCTACATTTCTGATTGTCAAACGCCACAAACGTCGGAAATGAGAATACTATCTAGCTTATCAAGAGGTCTATCATTTGCATTTAGATTCTTTGCGTTGGCTTTAGCAAGGGAAATGTTGGATATTTTTGAGCTTGGTTCTTTTTTGCTAGTTTCTTGGGGGTCATCTGTACACGTGTAGGGGCTTTGATCTGATGTAAAGAGACCTAGATAGAGAATATGGGAAATGTGGAATGGGGTAAAGATGTATAGCTTGAAGCTTGATTTGAGTTTACAAAGTTGGATTTGCGAGTTATGGTGTATGTAGGTACGAACCGAGGCCAGATTTATCATTATGTACATGTTGAAGAGCCTCGAGTGAGGTTGAATATGTTTCCTCGACGTTTTTGACAAAACTTGCTATACAAGGAGCGTCAGAGTGATGGTTGTTTGATACACATGCTAGACCTCATTGGAACAAGCTTTTGCAATAAGTGGCTAGCGCACAGCTCAATAGATTTTACTATTCATTCCCATTGTCACTTTCTCTATTTCTTGTACTTTTTGACTCAAACCATCTCGTCTCAACTCCGGAATTGGTCCGCTGATGTTGGAAATCAGAGCCCACTGCAGGCTTAGACCGGTAGACCGGTAGGCCAGGGGGCAAAGCAATATGAAGACCTAGTTTGTACGCATATTAGGTGACACGGAGGGATATCCAACTTCAAAAAACTCCATTAGTTTCGATAGTGAAGTTTTGGCATATGTTATCGATCTGGCTTGTTCACGAAAAGTGCGGATAGTCATTGATGCCATTTCTAGATGCGCATTCGGCTTTCAAGGCGACTTTATTCCATTTACAGCAATTGGCCTATGCAATTACCAGCATCAACTACGATTTATATTCCTTTCCTCCAACTTCTCCTATTTTCCAACCATAATCGCGAGCGTCAATGTATTTGCGTGTAGGTGGAATGGACGTTGAGGTATGCGGCGCAACTGTCCAATCAAGTCGAGGTGTTTGCTTTTTGTTTCAATCAATTAGAATGAATGGATAAAAATGCATTCGCAAATCGCTCAAAATACGACGGTGTAGCCATAGGGAGTATGTAAGGGGTGTTTTTATTATTGACTCTAGATGCTATCTTTGGAGTCATGTTGGAGGTTCTAGTGGCCAATTCGGTGATATATATATATATAGCTCTAAATAATGTTAGAGGTGGAAATTGAGAGGTAGAAGCTGAGAGAGGACGGAGGCAAGGAACGGAGCGGATGGTCGAGCGAGAGATGTAGTGAAGTTAAGAGAGGGCTTGTTGGAAGATATTCGCTAACCAATATAGAGCGAATGATTTGAAGATCCGCGTTCGACATGTAGGATATGCAAGTTTTGTGTTTTGATGAATTTTGAGTCATTGTCTCGCTTCAACATAGGGGCAGATGATTACTGAGCACACTTGAAATAGGACATTATCCAGTCAACACAGTGTTCATTGAGGAACTATGGACCCAGAAAGCATCGTTTTTTAAAACTCATCGCATCCCAAATATCATCGCGCATGTTCACTGCCAGTGCATAACCCAGATTCAAGACGAATACCTATCCCTAGCACCGTTTCTCAACAACCTGTCGTGAGGAGACCGTTGCCAGCGCAAAAGTCCAAAAGCCTCGGAAAGGGCAGACGCTCAAACTAAACGACCACCAACATCCAAAGTATTGTCAGAGTATTAATCCTTGTGAAACAAATCCTTGGCCTTTTCCAAACCCTTCTTCAATCCAGACTTATGTTCACCTTGGTCATGAGTATCGTTTGATCCATAATTACCTGACGAATCGCCTGAAGTCTGGTCCTTGTTACCGCCATAGCCTGTGTATTGGTTAAAATCGGGAAAACTTTGTGCAAGTGTGAAAGGACTTACCACCTGAAGTCTGCTCATAAGTATCAGTGCTGCTCTTGTTTCCACCATACCCGCTCGTGGCTTGGGTATCTCCGCCATATCCTCCAGTGCTTTGAGCATTGCCTCCGAGGCCAGTAGAGCTAGGTTTATCTCCACCATAGTCTCCCGATGTTGTATCATCACCACCACCACCATAACCACCCGAGCTCGAATCCTTCTTTCCGTATCCACCGGAGATTTGAGTGTCTTCTCCAAATGTGTTAGAGCTGGATGTATTGTCACCATATCCTCCTGACGCAGTATTGTCATCACCGAAAGCTCCAGTGTTAGACTTGGTAGCACCATAATCTCCTGATGTAGTATCATCACCACCGAAGCCATCTGATGTCAAATCCTTCTTTCCATATCCACCAGAAGTATCATCGTTGTCATTTCTTCCACCCAAACCCGACTTGGTGGTGCTATAACCCCCCGAAGTAGTCTCTTCACCACCATAGCCACTTGAGCTAATATCTTTCTTTTCATATCCTCCTGACGTAGTACTGTCATCACCAAAACCTGTAGAGGTAGACTTGGTAGCACCATAGTCTCCAGACGTAGTATCATCACCACCGAAGCCACCTGAGGTCAGATCCTTCTTTCCATTTTCACCAGAAGTATCTTCGTCGTCACCTCTTCCTCCCAAGCCAGGCTTGCTACCTCCATAACCACCCGATGTAGTATCATCATCACCGCGTCCGCCCAGACCCTGAGAGCGACTCTCCATTCCACCATATCCACCTGAGGTCTCGCGGTCACCAGTAACATCATCACCATATCCAGCCGAGCTAGCCTTGACTCCACCAAACCCACCAATCTTATCGTTGTTATATGAATCACTTCCAGCACCAGTAGTAGAGCCAAATGCACCACCCGAGGAAGTGTTCTCATCGCCGAAGCCACGGCCCGTGTTATCTTTCTTTGTGCTGCCATATGCATCACCCGAAGAGGTATTATCATCGCCCAAGCCACTGCTTGTATTATCTCTTTCAGAGCTGCCTAAGTCTTTATCATCAAATTAGTCCCCACACTTTATCAAGACATCGAAAAATGACGGCAAGCTTCATATCGAAATGACAAAAAGAAAAAAGAAACATACCACCAGATTGAGTATCAGTGTTGCGACTTCCGTAACCTGCAACGAGTTAGTGGATGGAGGTGAGGTCGCTGAGAATAATGAAGATCTCACGCTGCTGGTTATCGCCGTAGCTGCCAGATTGATCGTCGTTTCCGTAGCCGGACATGATTACGTTTGCTGAAGGTGGTTAGTGTTTGGGCGACGGATGGTTGGATGTATATTGCTGCAGAGATCGTTATGAAGATGACACTTACGTTTGAAATGGGAGATATCCTTGGAAAGAGTATTTGGATTGAAATCAGAAATTAGGAGACGAGGAGAGGTTTGGAAGTTGATTCAGTTGTACAGAAGTTTTGTTGTTGTTGTTGTTGTTGTAAGAATATATGGAGAGGTTGTAGGTTGTAGGTTGTAGGAAGAAGGAAGTCATATAAGATAGAGAAGGGATGACAGACACTAAAGCAGAAGCAATGAGGGGGGTAGAGTGACGTAGCTTATATATATTCACTGTCTTGATCACAGATCACCAATCACCTATAACGATCACAGATCACATATCACATCAGTCACATAATTACAGAACATAGTAACATAGTATCGCAATGTCGCAATATCAACCCCTCATTTGAGGGAGATTCGTGCATCGCCAATTCGTATCTGTATCTATCCGTTAGTTATTAGTTATATACTATATACCATATACCATATACCATATATCATATCCCATGTGATCACATCACAACCCAATACAGTATCAGAACCATTCCTCAACCAAAAAGCAACAGCTTCGCCAGTTATACGAAGACGAAAGGGGCAAGTTCACTTATCCAATTACCCCGCTTCCTCTTCCCAATTGGGCAAATCTCCAATCCAAGTATGTACTTAGTATTCTGATCTTACCTCAATATTCGTTCCTCTCTTCTACATTCAAAATCTGTCTCTGTCGTCTTTGTCCTCCCACCCACAACTTACCCCAAAAACAAGATTCCAGATCATCCCCCAAACAAACAACATGCAATTCCCTGAATTCAGCACTTCAAGGATCAAAACGTTACACAACTAATGCATGCATATGCAGCCGTTGTAGCATGTGTTATATACGCCTTATATCTAGCCAATTATATTATTATGAGGCTTTTTGCCTGTGATATTGTGAACCTGTCATTTCTTTCATTTAAGTTACTGTATAGCTGAAAAGCTTGATATTTCGGGCTACACAAACACGAAAACAAGAACTTTTTATTTTTGAGATGAAAAAAATAAAATAAAAAATAAAAAAAGGTGTGCGAGTATAATTGAGTTCATTGATTTGGATCGCTGGCTAGGAAATTTGAAGCCCAGATTTTGCCAGACTTACTAGGCATGTATTTCGAGGATATCTGTATCACGAGGAAGATAGTGATATCAGCAATCAGTCCACGGTCACATTTCGGTTCATAGAGTATACAGTTAGAAGCTTCATACCGTAATCTCAAATAAGCTCGCCGTGGAGTACTAGGTATATACACATACATTGCAAAAACGAAGAATAGCGGTAATCACTAGGTATCAACTCGAAAAATCACTTCCCTAAATCCCCAACCATTATACTTCCACCATGCATAGCCCCATTTCCATGCTTGCCATACTTGTGTACTTTTATTAAGCGCTTTTCAATCGCACCCAAACAGTTTGAAAACAGCATGCAGAAAAGAACTCCTTTCCGTCCTCAATCCCCTAACATCCCAATCCCATCCCAACATTCTTCACGCTGTGATTTATCTTGCCTCATACATCCCAGTGGCTATCTTCCTACTCATCTCAACATCCACCCAGTTACCTGCCGTTGGAGCCAACGATTCATCTGCAAACGGGTCTGATTCCTCTGCACCTTTGGCTGCCTCTAGTCTCGAAACACTAATACCACTGCCAAGAACTGGACTGTGAACTTCCCATCTGGCTTCCGCATGATCTGGATGTAGAACTGCACCCTCGGATCCGAAGAACAAGACGCTCGCTTTATGCCATCCGTGGCTGAGAGTAACGTCTCCAAGACGCCAAACGAAAACGGACTTGTCACGGTAATGAGTACCAGGAGGTTTAGATTTGCAGCCAGTAGCTTTGGCGCCTGCATATTTACCTATAATGACGAGGTTGTTGAAGGTTATGGCATCGGATGAGTAAGCTGGATTGAGTGCATACTCGACGATAAGACCAAGATTATCACCAACAGGTTTCCACGCTGGTTTCAAAAGTAACGGTGAATGTGCAGCCATATTCTGATCATCGACATGCACTCGGTACGTGAATGCTGCCGAGGTTTTATGCGATACTGACGCAAGGTCTACAGTAAATTCATCCGGCTTCTCTGTTGAGACTGGGTGAATGAATGTTCTATTGGGACCGATAGCTTCTAGAGCTGGGAAGTTATTGATGCGGATGGTCTCGGTTCCTGTACAAGTTAGATTTTGCGGCCGCCTTTCTGGAGGCTGACTTACCGGAAGCTGGTAACGAAGTGCCATTCGGCGAGGATATGTAGATCAAAGCAATCTCCCCGCCAACTTTGATTGTTCTGGCAACCCCATTCTCTATAGTGGCGCTAACAGTCTCTATAATCGACGCATTGAGGCCAAGGCGGTGCATGTCAGCATGCTTGACCACAGCATTATTTGAAAGAGAATGCCCGGAACGAATTGAATTAGTATCAGATATACTTGGTGCACCATGGCCATGTTCTGAAATAGCTGCAAAGGCTGCCGCACGTGCCGCCCCTGGGGTAAAGGCCGGCGAAGGAGGCAGATTGTTTTCTATGCTACCCACCTCGAGATTTGGCGAAGGGACATAGACTGTGTTCCGAACATCTCTTCGGCCTCGGACGGTACCTATTTTTCGACCTGGGGTGGTCAATTGAGACGAACGCAAAGTATTGGCAACATTTGACAATGCAGCTTGTGCATCTGCATCTTGCTCAGGAATGGGTTGGTCTCGAATGTCTAGCTTAAATTGAGGTTCGTTGTGCTCGTTAGCTTCTTGTAGAGCTTGCGATATAGGATCATTCATGGCTGCCGGTACCGAGAAACCTTCAGAATCTTTCTGTGTTTCTTGGAAATGCGATGGGGGTGGACCTGGCGGTGGTTCAACTTCCGATAGATCTATCATTCCCAGGCTTGATACACCATTAGAGGTAGCTGGTCGGACCATATCCGATACGTTCAATGATTCTTGGCCTATGCCATTAGAATTGCCATTAGGTTGCAAAGTATCTCGATTGGATGGTGATTCAGGGAGAGCAGAAAGTCGGTTGTCTTGTGAAGGAGACTCTCGTAAGTTGTTTGATGAAGTGTGGGGTGACAGGTTTGGTTGTCCCGAACTGCTATTGGAATTGCGATTCAAACTCGAGAATCCCCTATTAGGCGATGGGGCACGAGCAAATCCTCCATGAATGCTTTGGCGTCGACGTTGAAGCATCGTGCCAATGCGGCTTTTTAACTTCGATTCTAGGATTATTGAATCAGCATATGACACAAAACCATATAGCACCAAATTCTACGTAGAGACTATAAGGGCCCAAGGACTGTAGCTTACCACCAGAACCTTCTTGCTTGGATACATCACTGGCAGCAGCTGAGTGTGTTGACCGCGGGGTAGGCGGGGGTAATGGTAATGTAGTACCGCCAGTACCGCCGGTACCAGCGCTAGACAATTGTCTAACGGTTCGCTCCAAAACGGGTCTTCCCGCGGTGGTTGCTTCCGACCAATTCCTAATTTCCTGAGCCGTGTCTACCTCCAATAATGCTGTTAGGGTCTGCTCAACGGCTACTCGACTTCTCTCAATTCTATCGGCTTCGTGAGTTTCGAATTGCGTGAGGACATCTCGTAGATGGTTCAATCTTCTTTCGTCTATCGCCTGGAGGGTTTCATACACGTAGGGGGCTTGGGCTTGCCATTGTTGTTCAGCAGTCTGTAATTTAGTTGCCGCAATCTCGACTTTCTGTGAGTTTACTTTCCCCCCTTTCTTACTTAGTTTCTCGGATGCATGTCGTGCATCTTCGAGTTCCCTAGCCATCGCCGTAAGATTCCCTTGTATTGTTGTCATTCCCTGCATTTCTCGATTTTGAGTAGCAAATTGTCGCAGAGGTTGCTCAACATCCTTCAAGATTCGTTCGGATAGATTATGGTGAGAGTCCGCGATCGATTCGACGGAATTCACGATTTTCCTCCATGGCGTACCAAATATCCTGAAGCCCGGTCAGTAAGTTTTCGAGTCCAAAAGTCTGAACATATCATACCCCAAATCCCCCCCAGTCTCCTGCAAAGGCTTGCGCGCAAGCCTTTTAAGGCTGGTGGCATATTGTTCTTCTACTTTCCGACGCTCCTAGTACTTGTGTAAACAACATTTCATCACAGCTATCCGGCAATATGTACCTGCAACCAATCCGCAATTTCCGTATTCACTTTATTGATCCTCTTCACACGATCTATAAGTTTCGTTGCTGCTGCTCCCGGTGGTAGTCGATCCTATGTCGAGTCAGCACATGAATTTGATGGACTTCAAACTCCGCATGATTTTTAAATGGAAGTTAACTGACCAGTATAGCAGGATACTCTTGACGGTCCATATTTGTGGTTGTTGTAATCTTAACTTCTCAATAAGTCTTTCATCTGTGTGACGAATGATTGATCATAGTCATATGGTGATTGTAGAGGTAGGTAATGTTCTTTGTCCTTGTGCTAGTGGTACATGTATTTGTGTACTTGAGTTGGTTATAGTCTTTTGCAATACAGTACCAGTAATGTAATATCATGCTTTGGGAATAAGATGTTCTCCAATATTCCAATCTCGAAGGAGTGAACGGAAAGCGGAAAGCGGCTCTTTCTCGAATTAAACAAGGTCCGAGCTTTGTCTTTAGCTTTAATAATCCCTGTTGAGAACTTATGCATAATAATAAAATGAGCAATGTAAACAAAGCCACATGACTATTTCATGGTTGAACTGAGAACCATTACTCATAGAGCAAATCAAGAAGGGGAACAATTTTATATACCATACAAAATATTGACTCCACCATACAATCAATATTCATTCAGAATAATTCATTATCTTCCCCATCTACTGCTGTCTTTAAGCCTATGATTTATTCCTCAACAAAGACTTCTTCCTCATCTTATGAACCAGAAACCTCGGAGTTTTATCCGGTAACCAGGGAGAAGAAATAGAGTTCTCGTATTCAACATAAAACACCTTTGATAATACAGTACAGCTTTGAATTGTAGAAGAATACACAATCTCTATACTCTTGATAACTGTCAATATGGACTCAACTTCAGACTGGAAGCAGGAGCTTAAGGCCTCAGAACGATATGATAATATCTCAAAGCTGTAATGTGTTCCCATTCCCATTCCCAGTCAACATATGAACCACCATGGCTGACGTTTACTCACAATAGAAAGAAGTATCTTTCAGTTGGTGATCTTGGTGGTATTGCACAGAAGACTGCATTTGAGTTAGAATCAGAAGCCTATAATTCTTCGTCATCTAGAGTGAGTCAACAGTTTTCAAATATAGATATCATATATAAAGTGTGCATTATATCACACCCTTATTTGCTATCACACCTCTCTGCCTTCATACTGTATCCTTCTTGATCCATGGAGAAAATAAACCTCACTCCTGAATTCTGCTGCTCTCCATCTCCTTGTTGACATATTACTGATACGGAGTTATAGGATACTTATGATGCTTTATGCAATCCCAATACTCTTACTGACTCGAATGGTGGAGCCTCTTTATCGACAGCCCTTTCTGCACCCAAAGGTCCCGGTATAACCATAGGCTCCTATAGAAATTGTCATCATATCTCTAGTGGTGCCGTTTCTCAAGTCTATAGGTGTGATACGGAGGAGGGTTCCTATGCACTGAAAGTGGTTACAGAAACTCATAACATGGAACCACATTCCCCCACTCGTGAAATTGCTATTCTCAAAAGGCTCTCACACCCTTCTATAATTTCACTTTACACGACGATTTATGATCAAGAATCGAGATTGGTTCTGCTATTACCATATATGCCGTGCACTTTATCAGACCTACTGTTGAAAAGTAGCAATGGCCTCAACAAACGCACAACTAAAATAATCTTCAAAGAAGTATTATCCGGACTTGCATATCTTCATTCAGAGCAAATAATCCACCGTGATATATCACCGTCCAACATCCTTTTACCTCATCATATTGATGGCCAAGTCCCCATCGTAATTACTGATTTTGGCACCGCCTGGCACCCACAAATCTCCTCATCTACTGAGCCCGCTAACCAAAAATGTCTTGAGGTTGGTACTACATGCTATCGGGGCCCCGAGACCCTCTTCTCTAATACATCTTACAATACATCTCTTGATCTCTGGGCCACAGGTGTTCTTCTCGCCGAATGCCTCCGCTCACCCCCCACCCCACTACTTGAAAGTCGACGCGGTGATGAAGATGGAAATCAATTAGGACTGATTCTAAGTATGTTCAAGACTCTCGGGACACCAACTGAGCAGACATGGCCAGAGGCATTGGAGTGGAAAGCCAATCCGTTTCAGTGGTGGAATATTTTCCAGCGCAAATCATGGGAGGAGCTGTTACCAGATGCCGAGGACGACGAAAGGGACTTAGTCGCAAATTTGGTTGTTTACGAAAGTGGCAACAGGTTGACTGCGGATCAGGTTTGTTTACCCTGGTTTCTGCAGAGGCAAGAGCGGTTTGCTAATCCTCACTATCTAGGCATTAAAACATGCATTCTTTGTCGAAGAATTGGAATCGAGGAATTAGCTTGAATAGCTTCCATATATACATGAGAACACTCTCAAAGCAGATTAAGTGATCATTGATTGCTTCTTACCCCTATTCAAAGTTTGTACTCAACTATCACATTACACGTCGACCAAATTTACCCTTTACTGTCACACTTGATAGTGCCAGGCAAAGTATTCCACAAGTGATCTTCTATTGACAAGCTGGTTACCCAAAAACATTATTTTTTGAACCTAGACTTTCACAAGACAGATTTTCGTTGCCCCCTTTCCAAACTAAAGAAAATAATAGTGATTCATTCTCTCAAAACGAAATGAACACCTCCCACTATTCCTGAAATTCAGACAACAGTACATAACCAATTCTCTCAACAATGAACTCTCTACCCATGCCTCTTCTTCCAACTGCGCGTTCAATCCCACCATTTACCCACCACTCTCGTAGAATCGTAAGTGGGTTGGTTACCACTAAGGGTGGGCAATTTTCTACCCTCCCCATTGTTTCGGTTGGTGACTCGTCACTCCCTCCCATCCAAAGCGAATTTCACCAGCCAGTCCTTCTTTCTGCCGTCATGATTCCACAACCCTCTATACAGCCCTAATCGGTGTCGGCATTGATGATGATTGGTCAAGACAATCAGTTTGGTGGCAACAAGTCATATTCGCTCCATACTCCATATCCAGCATACAATCAACGCCGTGTGGGTAGGGTGACGCGTTTTTCTTGCAGAGCGTACCGAAGGTCCCTGAGTGGCCAAATTCGCAGCATTTCCAATAGCACTATATGATATGCTCGTTAGCTTTTGCCAATCACATCTAGAGATCACTTCTAGCGAGTGATAAATTGTGTATATCAACCACAAGTCAAAAATAAAACTAAATACTCACAGGTCTCTGAGCACCACCACCACCACCACCTTGCGGTGGAAGTTCCTGGGGATTTGGGACCGAGAAGACGGCGTACGCCAAGAATGCCGTGGCAATGGTGGCTTGTGTGAGGAATTGCATTGTTCTTGACGCTTTATAGAGTTTGAGTGTGTCTGATAGAAATCTGATCCCAGATAATGATGTGCTTTTCCCCAAAATGATGCGAGGCCATGCCCAGGATATAAGAAGATCCTGCACCCCTTCCATACAATCCTCGAAAGGGGTTTCTTCGCTTCTCAATTTCAGTTTCTCAGGTCAGAACCGTCAGATGAGCCGCGCTTGCTGAATGCTTATTTGTAAAATATAGTCATAGTAAAAGCTTATCTCAGCCGCGATATGTAAGGGAGGAACGAGGCATACAACCCTCTGTTACGGGGTTTGTGGACAGCGAGTCGATGACTTCGAGTGACAATCGAGTTTTGCTGGTGATTTAAGGATCGAGATGTTGGATGATTTGATGTGCTAGATTCTAGATCTTCTGATGCATTTTGCTTTAAGGTATGGAGAAAGTTGCAAAATTTTACTACTAGGTATGTCTCAGCAAAGTTACAAGAGCCTACCTAGCTAGGCATATGAAATCAAGACCTCGTACGGATTATAGAAATTCATTGCACTTGATTCCAAGCCGGTGATAGCCTCAATCGACATCTCTGCACCAGTTATGTCTCATCAAGGTCACCGAAGTTCATATGCATGCTGCACGAAAGACTGCATCTAGATTATGAAATTTCATCGCATTCATTCCAGGACCAGCCCAGCTCTTAAGATACACTCCATAGCATTCGCCCATGTTTCAACGCCATACTTTCAATGCAAAGGCACCAGCTGCTAAGTAAAAGTACATAGCCGGAAAGATATTGCCCATATTGATATTGCCCATATTGATACTGCCCATATCGATATTGCCCATTATTCATTATCCATTAGTATCCATGAAAGCTGATCAAAGAGATGTTTCCGTAATTGCCATTCCTCCAAAGAAAATCGCACCCACCGTATCCTCTAAAAGTCTAGTACTAGGAAATCACGCTTGATGATTTCAATTCTCACCTCTGTCAGTTACATTAATGGCCAGCCATATTTCTTGTTGTATCCCGTCTCGTAATTAATGTTGTTCTGGCTCAAAGATTGTCGAAGTCGTGTCCGACAGTGTCGTCCGAGTCAGGGTCATTGGCATTAAACATAGTAACCTCCTCCAGGAGATCATCATCCCACGTGTAACCTTGTGACTGCATGAAGTCATTGCCAATGGCATGATCACTGTCACTTAGTCCAAGAAACTTGCTGGTATTGTCAAGTCTCACAAAATTCTGCTCCTCAATCTTTCCAGGGGTACTGCCGCTTCCAGTGGTATTTGCCATCACTGCGTCTCCATTGAAGTTGCCGATACTATGACTGTGGTCGTGGATTTTTCCAGGAGAGCTGGCGTAACCACTGTCATCCGTGACTGGTGTTGTGGTATTATTGGCGGTGCCATTGTCGAACACATTCTCCAAGATACTGACGTTCCAGATATCTCCGTGAGAATTGCACTTCCAAGTGCTGGATGCACCAGCCTCAGCGGACATATCTCTCAGGTGATCGATCAATCCTAACATCTCGGCCAATCCTCCTGGAAAAATCTCCCAGTATTTCTTGCGGCTAATCAAATCACCAACAAAAAATCGTACGACCCGATGTTCTCCCAGCTTTTCTACTTTGTACATCCTAGCTCCAGAAAGGAGAAGCATGGGGATGCGAATATCTGGATTTTGAGATTGTGGTAGAACGTCTCCTGCCCGACCACCATATGATGGGGAGGAAATAGTTGGTCGAGAAAAATGCAGAATGAACTGTCGAAAGCAATGCTCGTAGTCCTTTCTTGGGTCTCGTATACAGATGGGTATTTGGCAACAAAAAATTGCAGAATGATTGAGGTGTGCTTGTGGATGCATTGGGTCAACAAACTTCACCTTTGTGGTTGTTTGTTTGGCACAATTGGTTGAACCATCTGTCTTTTTGACTCTGACAGATGAAGGGGCTTTACCCTTATCAAAATGCGATTGACTGATAGGCTTTGAAACCAAGAACTGTCTAGGAAGCTGGTTGATTGGTTGATAGTGGTCTCCTGGTCCAGGAAGCTGGTTGGTTGGTTGATGCTGGTCTCCTGGCGCAGGAAGCTGGCTGATTGATTGATAATGATCTTCTTGGGAAAGTTGTGAGCCTGAATTATGGATATCTGGGCCGAAAACCAATGAAGGGTCAACCTCCATAGGAAAGGGGCCACCGAAAATTGGCCATTGGGATTGGCTGGCGAAGTTGGCTTGGATCAAATCAGGATCAATTAATCCATCTGAGTCATCTTCAAGTTGATCTTCATTGACTTCTTCGAAATTGATGAATGGAGAATTGAGAAGAGAATCTTGAAGAGGGGTGATAGGGGGTGAAGGGACAATTGGGTAAAGGTTGTCACTGTCAACTAATCCTGTCGACGAAGCATTGCTTGGTGTGAATGATGTAGATGCCATTGTTCTTGATTGTTGAGACTTCTTGTTGTTCTGTATTGTGGTGTCAACGATTGTGAATGTGATTGTGAAGAGGAAAGAGAGGAAGTGAAAGACTTCTGAAGGAGGTGGGAATATGATGTGAAAGGATCGCTTAATATTAATATCTACCTTTATTGAGAAAAACACACCGCCTTCGACAGTGAATCTATCAGATGTCGCCAGTTCCAAGGTCAAGACTGTTTCAAGGAGGTCTAGATTCGGCTTTTGCCGTACTCTGCCTTGGTTATGGATACCCGAGGTTTTAATCCTCAAGTGAGGTATTGAGCATGACATGGAGAATTCTTTATCTTGGTCCTTAAGATAACAGTTTCCAATGAGTTTGAGAGATCCAAGGGAGATTCTCTTTCGACTGGAGATGAACAACAGAGTCAGAAGCACAATGAAAGAAACCAGCTAGAATTTGAACACTCCAAGGATGAGAAAAATAACATCAAACTTAAGGTTCTTGAAGCTCAAAGCATTCAAGACTCCATAGAATGAAAATGAAGAGAGTTTTGAACACGTGCAAGTATCCATTAAGGTGCCCATCTTTTCATTGGTAGAATTCGTACTGAGTGATGCGGATGAGTGGGGAGATGTATATATAGAAGAGTAACTAGAGGACTAAAGAAAACTTAGAAAGGTTAGATGCTGCTAAAGTGAATATAAGAAGTGGTCGGACTCCAATTGACTAAATTATGATAGGTATTCAGATATCTCATCCCATTATCTCTTGGTGGTCATACCTTCCATAATTGAATTTTCAGTTCTAATAAGATCAATCAAAAATAACCAATCATCTTCCCTCGTGCCTTCTTTATTGGGTATCAGCTTTAGTAATACCTAGTTTGTTGTTAGTCATTACTATGTTAGGCAGATGTCACTGCCCATTCATATTTTTGTTGGTGCATGAAATGAATATTAGGTTGCTTCCTTCAGTTTCGTCAAATCTTCAACTTTGAATGAATGTTGAGAATATGGAATATAGATTATGGAATACAGAATATGGGCCGTTTATGTTCTTGTCTATCTAGTCTAGTCTAATCTAATCATTCTCTCATCTCATCCTCTCATATAAGCGCCGAGCGTAGAAACCTTCAAATCGACCGTTTACTCTTACACTACTTAGAAAGTGGAAGAAATAGAGGAAATGGAAGTAATGAAAGATGAAAGCATGAAGTCATGAAATAAAACAGAAGGAACGACAGAGGACCTCGAGCTTGACGTTATTGATTTAGAGATGCCTACCCAATCGTAATCTCATCTCTTGAAATTATGTACCGCCGATCAGAAGTCCTTTTACCAGATCAACCTTCCCAATATGTACCAAACTTAAACTTTATTACCACCAAGACAAGCCCATGGCTTTCCGCATGAAGACAGTACATCTGAAACTATTCCCATGGTTCCTGCACTTCCACTCCAAGACCTTCCCAGCATCAGGAATAAAAATCCCTTGAAGCCATTCCGGAAGCTCTGCTGCAGTAAGTTCCCAACGACTTTGTCGGTCAATCTCTACGAAGCTACCATATTCATCTAAAGACTGGACTAGAAATACGACGATGAATGGAGACTCTACTCGAATTATAAAGTCTGTTCGACGCATAAGAGGCCCGAGACGTTCGAGAGCATGCGGTGGTTCATGGAGGATCTTGCCATGAGCAATTGCATATAGAAATGAAAACCAAGGATTGTCGATGCTCACAAATTGCCTGGAGAGGTCTCCATGACAGCAGACGAGCTTTGGAGGTTGTTCTGTGATTTTGATAACTGCATCATTAGAGACCTCGGTATGTCGTGGACGACGAATGACAGACTTCGGAAGAGACTGGTAGGTTCAATTCGTTAATGATAGGGCAGACCAAATACAGAAATACATACGTCATAATGCATGCTTGAGGGGCTTTGTGAAATCCTTCTAGTCTGACAGAGGATCAAATTCAGTGTATTCATCATCCATTGGATCCACCATGTCTAGAAGGTTGCGTGGGAGCTCCGTGTGTGTCTTCAATTGTTACGTGAAAGGTGAGCAATTATATGCAACGAGCTGCGTATGATAAGATAATTGAACTGAGTTGTATCTGAACCGTATCTGAACCGTATCTGTATCAAGAATAAACTGCCCTACATGTGAATCAATCATCATATGTGAATCAAATGATGATGATTTATTTAAAGCAATCGCAAGTGAGTGAATGCATCGTTGCTCAGAACATTGAAGGAAGACTTACACTGACACTGACAACTCACACTTACTCGCTGCAGCCGAAGTAGCAATTTAGCTTAGGAAGTAACTTCCCCTTGGAGTGCCATAAAACTTCAATGCATTTTTGTGCTCTCATTATTCCGAGGGGAATTGTAGGTTGTTCTTTCCCCAAGTGTTGATAGCCGGCAATTGGGGGTAGATTAAGTGGCGCATGTGCAGGTTGAGAACCAATTTTCATTTCGAGCCTTTTACTAAATCATAGTACTCGAGTATATGATTACATTACAAGTATGATTCTACGTTGACGAACTGCTTTTCCTTCAATTTTCATACAGAAGACGAATTATCGTAAGGAACTCTACAACCAATCAACAAAACATCCTGTTCACCAACTTCTCGAGAATCACTCTGACGAAGCAGACCAAACCATTTGCAGTTCTAGAAAAGAACTAAAACATCAGAACACAACCAGAAATCTCCATTGGCTGCTTATTGCTCCCACACAATACAGTACAACTATCTCGCTATCACTCTTAACTTTAAGTCATTGACCAAACACTCCCAAAACTTTCAATCACTTTCATCTGGTAGCTATTGCAGACCATAGCGGTAACTTATCAAACCACTTGGGATGTATACCTTAGTTTACCGTACAGTACCAGAATCTCAAGGGGAACACATGAGCCATGAAAGATGCTGCGCTATGTCTTGGCTAAGGCTAAGGCTAATAGATACACTGAAATCCGCTGTTTTCTTTTCGGGATGATGTGGCTGGCAACTACCATCTTAAACCGACTGTTTTCAAACAATGTCTAGCGGACAGTCGATATTGGGTGACAGCATACTATTCATCAAACTTCATGAACAAGATACTAATCATAAGGGAAGATTAGGAGCTCAAGTCTTCCAACTCCATCCTCCACCTTATGCCCAATCCTCCAATTTGAAAGAATGCTCTTGACCCATCATCACAAACGCCGGCCCAACCTGACCACACACAATCTCTTCAAACTTCAAACTTCGAACATCGGCATAGGTAACACTTCCAACAACCAATCTACCTTCCTATTCCGATGCTACTCCCTATCCATCAACAAGCTTATCTCACGTACGATCACCGGTCGAATCCGAAGTACTCGAGTAGGGAAGTTCTATTGCTGGAAGTGGAACGCTCGAGAATCACCGGGTGCCTTTTCTACATGTGTACCACTTTTGGCTGCGTGTATAAATATAAATGATTTGAAACGTTCGTTCATGGATGACGAACTTGAAACATTCCACAGGAGGTATTGAAAGGTTGCCATCGATTGATTATATTCATCACATAGTAATGTTTGTAAGATTACCCGCCACACTCACGACAAGCAAGCTATAATATTTTCTGACCGCCTTAAAGCTTAAATTAGTAACTAAGTAATTTGTGCAGGTAGAATGATTCTGATTTGTGGCAAAATAAAACCGGTGAGAGTGTCTAGGGCTGTATTAGATTCTTTATGGTTAGCTCATCTTATATGTCAGCAATATTATTGGGTAATATTCATATAAACCCATACCTCCGTCATTATACTAATGATGTACTAATTCTCCCCACTACTCGAGTATATCTGTATATTTCCAATGTGTAAAGCTGATAAACCCATAAGCACACAAACTACTTCTTACATTCATCAAAATATTTAGATACAATGGGAAAACGACAATTCACATCGCAAGCTTCTAGCACTCGTGCTGCCACTGCCACTGCCACTGGTGCAGGCTTTAGCTCTGGCTCTGGCTTTACTACAACATCTACTAGACTATCATACCTTACGGAACCATCAAACCTCTCTTCCATTAGCGATGCCAATGTCGTGGTATCATTCAAAAATCTTTCCAAAAAAGATGCAACAACCAAAACGAAAGCTTTAGAGGATCTGCGAGCATTCATCCAAAATCAACCATACGAGCAAGGAGGCGCGGAAGAGGCAATTTTAGAAGCTTGGGTAAGATGCGCCGTGGTAAACTTCAGACGTTATCTTTTAACATATCATACAGGTCAATGTCTACCCTCGAGTCGCCATAGATAACTCACGTCGAGTTCGGGAGCTATCCCACAGCATACAATATGAGCTTTTGAAATCGGCCAGGAAAAGAATGGAAAAACATATACCAAAGATTGTGGGAAGCTGGCTGGCAGGAACATATGATAGAGACCGAGCAGCGGCGCGATCTGCTACTGATGGACTTACATCTTTTCTTGATACGGATGCTAAAATGAATCTGTTCTGGAAGCGTTGTCAAAACGAGATCCTCGACTATGCAGAAGAAGCCTTGCATGAGACCCCTGATACCCTAAGTGACGAAAGATCCGTTCCGAAAGAAGATGCCGATGAAAAGTACTATCGAGTGAACAGCGCGAGTGTCTCTCTTCTTGCTAATCTGCTAGCCAGACTCAGCAATGATGATATATTTAAACATCGCGACAGGTACGAAAAGGTTATTTTCAGTAATAAGAAACTATGGACCCTGGCTTCATGTGAGGATTCTTCTGCGAGAAAAAGTACCGACAAATTACTTGTGCTTTGCGTTGAGAAGCAAACTCAACTGGTCGAGAACAACCTGGAAACTATCAGTCGTGCCTTCATATCTAAAGCACTGAGATCGCCTCAATCAACATCTGCACTGCAACTATTGCAGACTTTACATCAATTAACGAAACAATTTCCCGAAGTATGGACTTCTGCATACAAAGGCAAACACACCGCTACAGATGACTTGAAGTCTTTTATTCGAAAAGGTTCACAAGGCTCTTCCCATGCGTATTGGCAGACATTGCGAGCTCTTGTGGCGATTTTGCCAATAGCTGTCCTACCTCAAGAACCTGATTCTATCCTGGAGTTTCTGGACGCATTCCGCAAGAGCATCAATCAAAGAGAGGAAAACAAAGCCAACGCGTCGGAAGCATGGCTTGCTTATGGAGGGACCGCCAATATCTGCATTGGAAAACTTTCAAGTTCTCAGCAAACGGAAGTTGTACAGAGATCGGTGTATCCTATGTTTGGACATTATCTTCATCCCTCCTCAAATACTTCCGAATGGCTGATCAGAAGTAATACTCCAATTTCGACTATATCTTCTTTCATCTCTACTCTAGTAAAGAACGCCAATTTACAACCGTCCCTCCAAGAAGAATGGCGAAAGCTTGCTCAAGAATTCATTACAAAAATGCAAACATCAATGCCTGAGCAATCTAAAGACTATTCATTGTCTCAAGATGCGGTCATCACCGAAGGCCATCGGTGGTTCTCGCTTTTGTCAGAAATTTTCAAGTTACAAGACGTGACAACCGATCAAAATCCTCTTCTTCAACCATCGAGCGAAATCATTAATAATGCTCTTCAGGTAATTATTAATAGGAATGGGAAACCATACTCTGCCAGTTCAGTATTGAAGACCGCGTTGAAATTCTCTCCGCAGCTACTAGAAGCTTCTCCCTCGACCTTAGGGGCCATAACATCATTTATGGAGGACCATCTTCCCAAATTGATTTCGTCTCCATCATCATCATATTTGGTTTCAGCTTTGAACCAGTTTCGTTCACTTCCCAGACAGCAAGAAGTTTACAAGAGCACCTGGCAGGCAACTATCAACGGTCTGTTATCGGCTCCCAAGGACTTACAACGACAAACAGCCATTACAGCACTAATGTCTTCTAACGATGTTGCGGATTTGGTTTGTGATAATCAGGCGCTCCAAGATTATATTTTGGAAACTTCATCCGAGGTAGTCAAAGGTAACAGCGAGGGATGGTCCCTACTCGAGGCGGCAGTAAATTTCAACGGATTCTCCAAGTCAACGGAACATTTATTGCTGCAAACCTTGATTTCAGCACTGAGTGCTTCCAACTCTAGCATTAACCTCGCCTTTCAGGCACTTGAGTTACTAACCAAACGACGGCCTGAGGCTATTCGAGAAGGAGATGCGCACGTAGATCTGATCACGAAGCTTTTGGCATTGACAGAGCTACCAGATTCTGAGCTTGGTAGGCGGGCCTTGACTTTACGATCGTTAGTCGACTCCCCAGACAACCAAAATGGCGTTACCGCTTCTTCTGTTGTTCATATACTCAAAGAAAACTTGGAAAATGCAAGTCCCCAATCATTGACGTGAGTACAGCCCTCAGCTGCAGTTTTTTTCGCTGCCGCACAAGCAATGACTGACATTAGATTCTAGTATTGATACGCTTATTCAACAGGCAGAAGCAGTCATTGCTGCCTCACTGGACAATTCGCATCATCCCGAGCTTTTTCCCGATGTCACAAAATGGTCTCAAGCCTTAGCTCCTTTGTTGGATCAATCGCCAAATCCTACTTTGGGAGTGATGAGGCCATTTGCGGGAGCTGTGTTCTTAGTTCATACACCAGAAGTCATTGAGATTTCCCGACCTGGGAGAGACGCGGATGGTTATTCCACAGCTCTAAGGATGGCCATGTATTCGGCACATTTAGTTCGCGATCATCCTGATCGCTTATCAAAAGATGCATTAGTCGAAGTTATATATCTTATGTGCATGACTGTTGAATTAGCGAATGATCAACTAGATTTGCTGGAGATCAACAAACTCTTCGCGGTTCCATCCGCAGAAGTTATTCTTTGTGTACGCGAATTCTCGGATAGGATATATCGAGAGTCATTACCCTTCATCCTGCTCCATTCGAAAGCTTGGCGAGATGGATTTGAGTCGGGCTCGCCGCTTGAATTTTCTGGTGTGGTTCATTCCCTTGTTTTGAAGCTTATAAATGCTTCTCGCGGCAATACCTCTACTTCATTCTACTCTGCTCGCGTATTGAGCCATCTGTTATCCAAACTTGTTGAACAACATGGGTGGCAAGCCGTGGGGGGCGAGGAATGGATTTCCAAAACTGACGTCCTTAAGTCCTCTACACCGAATATCCTTGGGGCTGTTGCCATTTTGACAGGACTTCATGAAACCCTTAGTACCAGTCAGCCTGTTAGCAATCTTTGCAACCAAATAATTAGTGATGTTACGGATGCTGCTGCTCAATCCGAAAAGAATGTTGGCTTACTTGTTCTCCTAAACGCGACTTTATCCATATACGACGACGACGATCTTCCTGTCGCACAGAACCGATTGGTGTTTGCAGTGAAGCAAATCCTTTCATGGACTCCAGAAGTTGCAGACACCAACTATCAGCTCTCATCTGAGATTTGTCGCGCTCTGCAAAAATTGCTTCCAGCAATCAAATCAGTTTATGGGTCTTATTGGGAGAGCACACTTGAGTTTTGCATCAAAATATGGGAAACGATGGAAAGCGAAGAATACCATGAGCAAAAGCTTTCCATGATGGGAATGTCTTTGAAATTATTCTCAAATTTACGAAGCTTGCAAGATGCCAATGACGACCTTGACGACGCTTTGACTCAGTATGGAAAACTCGCATCTCACTGTTTCATCAAGCTCATGAAGCTACCAAGAGTTAAGCCAACACAGCCACTTGAGTTTGTCGACAATGCCTTATCGCGACTGATCGTCAAAATACCTTCAAGCCACATTGAAGACGTCTCCGAGTTTTACCCGTTGATAGCTTCAGAAAAGAGGTTGGTTCAGTCTGCAGCATTTGATGTCCTTCATCGAGCTATTCCTGCAGAGCAAGAGGAAATTGCGGTTAACACCCTCCTCGAAAAAAAAGGTACGTTGCTGGCTTCATTATCATATCTTCTCTTTCGAAATATCCCACACTAACTTGCATACAGACGCTCAATTGCCAGAAGAATTGTTGTCTCTTCTCCTAGACGCACCATCCATCCGCGACTTTGACGACGAAGAGCTTGCAAACTTTCCACCATCGATTCGATGCTATTTACTTTCCTGGCTTTTAGTTTATGATTCATTCAGCACAGCATCATGGAAGGTTCGCAAAGACTATTGCAATCACCTCCAGTCAGAAAACTGTATCGGATCATTCTTGACATTTCTCTTCGATGTCCTAGGGCATTCAGAAGGTAGACCTATCAACCTCGAGAGAGCACATTTTGATGAATCATACATTCGCTCGTATGATGCGGCATTAGCCGATGCTGAACCCAGCGAGCGGAATTTGGAATGGCTTCTTATTCATCTGTATCATCTATGTCTTAAACACACCGGTGATCTTGCCAAAAATTGGTTCTCTGAGTGCCAATCCAAGCAGACCCGTCAGGCAGTCGAATCATGGACAGAGAAAATTTTCACTCCACTTCTGATCTCGGATAAGCTCGATGAAGTCGAAAAATGGGCAGCTTCAAAAGAAGCAAAAGAAGGAGGCGAGAAAGAGCTTGATATCAAGGCCTCAAAGGGCACACGCTCGGTCTTCGCTAGCTACGAAGTTGATGAAACTAGCATCCAAATTGCCATCCGGTTCCCGCCCAACTACCCATTTTACAACGTCAAAGTCGAAGGTTTAAACCGCGTTGCCGTACCAGAGAAGAAATGGAGAAGTTGGCTACTCATCGTTCAGGGTGCCGTCACATTTTCAAATGGCAGCTTGATCGATGGACTGACTACCTTCCGTCGCAATGTTGAAGGTAGTCTGAAGGGACACACTGAATGTGCTATTTGCTACAGTATCATATCGACTGACAAGAGAACACCGGATAAGAGGTGCGGAACTTGTAAGAATTTATTCCATGGGAGCTGTCTGTTCAAATGGTTTGCGAGCAGTAACCAAAGCACGTGTCCTTTATGCCGCTGCGCTTTTAACTATGGTCGTTGAGTTATACGATATCTCAAGACGGAGAGCGAAAGAGATGGTCGAAGAGAATGTGGAGAATGTAGCAAAATATTTCAAAAAGGTGATCAATAGAAACAACGATTTATTTTCTAAATTGTGAATAAGCTACCGTGTACATATTTTACAAAACTATATAATATTGGTTATTTTAAAGTCCATCTCAATATTCAGATTGATGATTCCGACTATCTTTCCCTTGGCCCATGATATCAATGAGTGCCTGAGACATGAGTTCCATTCCACAAAATTGCGGGAATGGCCGTGCATGACATTATTAAGCAGTTTTCCATGCAGCCGTCGGAAAACTTCGGGGTAAGCGTTGGGTGGATCCAATCGTATTACCCCGCAAACAATACACTGGACATTCATACACAGCCTTGAGCTTGAGCTTCACTTTCACTGACTCCCTTCTCTTCTATTCACATTACAAGAACGAAACCGATCTCAAAAGAATACATCCTACGAAGAGTATCAACATACTTAACTCTTGTGCCAATATATATTTGAGAGCTGTTCCTTGAGTCCCTTGTTTTGTAGTCAGTCCCTTGAGAGGATTCACTATCTATCTAATCAGTCCAACAAAGCTCAAGATCCGAGATAAAGCGACCGAACGAACTCACAACAAGCACCAACTGGACGGACTTCATAGAGCTTCGAAGTTCAAAGTGATTTACAATAAAGGATATTACAGATTGATTGTTGAATTGTTACACTTTCTTGTAAGTACTTTAGTATTCATATCGGATGTGATTTGCTTATCAGCCTTTGTATTCCCTTTCGATCTGTCGCCATTCTAACCTGAATAGCATTATATTTCTCCTCTGATTCATTCAACATCCCCAACTATACTCCTTTCGACTAGCCAAACCCGAAGCATAGCTCGAATGAAACATCATTCGTGGGTATAATCATCATTCATTTTTGGATTTCTTCCTGAAAGTTAATTCAGGCTACCGAGCATGATACGATCGAGATAAATCTTCGAAATGCTTTCTTCAACCCTCACCTCGGTCTCACAGACCAGAACCTCTCCTCTTATCTTATATGGTTCGATTTCTGCCTCTACCAACATGCTTCGATCTGCCGGGTCAGTCTGGAACCGTAGTCGGCACAATCAACAAACCCGAGGCTTTCGATTGGGTGTTTGTTGGTCTTCATACCTTGACCCGGGATTTGATAAAGATATAAAACGTCGTCACCGAATCCTAAAATTTAAATATCTTGAGGCTTTGGATCGCAAATTTGCATGGCACCATAAGCCTTCCAGCTTTATGAAGCACTTTGGTAAGAGTTTCGGGTGTAGCGCATGGAGAACACATGATGCAAGACCTGGAGGACGTTGGGTTAATATGGATCGAATGATCAAGACTCATGACGATGCGGAGCCAATTCCCAGAGACACTAAGCAGGACGAACGAGTTCCGAATTATAAACGCGCCATGCAGAGCTTCATGCGCAGTAAAACAATTTACTTCTCCCCTGCTCACTCTAAACATACCTTCAAAGCCGATGTCGAGAATACAGAAGGTGGTGAACCGATCCGACTATCGCAGGCTGGTGAAGCATTCTGGAGAAATTTGAGTTCGAAGAATGAGTCGGACAGGCAGCCCAATGAAGGCTATGAGATAGATCCGATCACAAATCGAAAGGTGTACAAAAAGGAAAAGGCTGTAAAAATACCAGTAAGAACATTCAAAGGATATCGTCACAGATTCCGAGATTTAGTCCTGCCCGATTCCAGTGCCACTCAGGATGATATTGAAAACTACAATAAGCCCTTCATGTACAATGAACCTGATGGAAAGCTTCCCGAGAAGCCCGATTCAACGAAGCAAGGGTTGAGTGATTATGACTCTGTTATCGAAGGATACGAACCATTTCTTTTTCGAGAGCCCGATGGCAAATTGCCTGAGCAGCCTGACTCTGTACAAGAATCTTTGAAAGAATGCGATGGCCAAGGATACAAACCATTCTTTTATAATGAGCCGGATGGACAACTACCACATGAACCCGACCCAGTACAAAAAGGACTGAGAGATTACGACAATTGTACGTCTTATAACGCGTTTCGATACAGAGAACCTGATGGAAAGCTGCCAGAGAAACCAGATCCTGTCCAGGAGTCACTGAGGGACTACGATGCAACCACAACCTATGGATTCTTTCGTCACAATGAGCCCGATGGGAAATTGCCCGAGAAACCAGATGCAGTGCAAGAATCGTTACAGGAATACGACATTACCACTTCCTATGGATCCTTCCGGTACAACGAGCCCGACGGTAAACTCCCCGAAAAGCCAGATACGGTCCGGGAAGGATTGAAGGACTTCGATGCAAACACCTCATATGGATCCTTTCGGTATAACGAGCCCGATGGTAAACTCCCCGAAAATCCAGATGCAGTCCGAGAAAGTTTGAAGGACTTCGATGCAAATACCTCATATGGATCCTTTCGGTATAACGAGCCCGACGGTAAGCTCCCCGAAAAGCCAGATACAGTCCAGGAAGGATTAAAGGAGTATGATCAGACGCAAGCGAGAATTGCCCAGGGCTCTGGCGCTGACTCTAGGGCGCAGGATAAAAAGGCACCCGAGAAAGATACTGTCAATCAAGCCCTTCGAGATTACGATAGCCGAGCCCCATATAGTCCTAGTAAAACACCCGAAGCTTCGCAGTCTCAATCAATGTTGCGCAGATATCCTGATGCAGATACTAGAGAGGATCTTGACCTACTTCGAGCGAGTGATATTCGCGCCGCTTCAGGCATTATCAAGCATGCCAAGAAGGAAACTGTTGAAGAAAAGTCCACTAAGAGAGAACAATTGGAGAAGGCTTTCGAAGAAGCGCATCAAAATGTGGTCGAGTATGCTAGAGAAATCGCCACTGAGCAGAGATCAAGATGGAAAACTGAACCCAAAGTACGCGAGAGTCCCAGCTCTTCAGTCTTTAAACCTGGGGAAGGTGTCGGCGCCCCTGATAAAAGGGACCCAAAGGCAGTACAGGTCGAGAAACAAAAGGTAACAGGTAATTTTGTTCGGGATTTTCCAGAAGAGTTCCAAAAGTCTTGGACACAACAAACTAACGGCACTGGAGCATTGATACCAAAAGTATCTCAAGATGCTTGGGGATATGACAAGTCTCCGAAGGGACTAGAGCTTTCTTACTCGGCGGAAGTCAAGCAAACCATTCAGAAGGCTGAACAGGAATATATTGACGGTACTGCTTCGAAAGAAGCTTTCTCTCGAAATCCAAACACACCAAGACTCCAGACATCCTTAGATCGAACTACGACAAAGCCAACATCTCCTCACACCGATGTGACTAAAGGATCATCGGAAGTTGACCCGTACTCAAAGGTACCCCAAGGCTTAGAAACTTCGTATAGAGAGGAATGCGCCAGCCAAGGTGAAGGGGATCTATCAGTATATGTTTCATCGTATGGAAAGGCCAGAAAACAATCTGGTAAAGACAAAGATCTAGTTCGTGAGATCCGAAGCATTTATGAAGATGATTATGGCAAGATTAACTCCAACCATCGACAATCACCAGCAAATGATGTCAAAGCTAGAAATATTCCCGGAGAAAGTTTCGTGACGGGCTCGGAGCCAACCACTTATAAGGTTTTGGCCTATGACTCGACAATGCAGTCGATCAATATTGCCGAAACAACATCTATTGTGACTGATAATGCATCGGCTCTGACTCCTGCCGAGGTCCTTCTTCGATTGTCCAATCCAGCCAAGTTCTTTCCACATTTCCACTCATTACAGGCTGAAGGATATGAAATTGTCTCCGGAGGAGGGGATGTCCTTGTATTCCGCAAAGTTCGACCAGCAAGACGCTTGTCGTCGCAAGCTGATTTGAAGAACAACACAACAAATCCGATAGATGGTATGCAGGTAGCAACGGGCAGATTCGCCAGCCCCACAGGCTTTGTGAACCATGATCTGCCGGAATCAGCAGAACCACCATTCAAATCAAATATTGATGTTCGACGAGAAGAACCTGTATTTAGTGGCAAATCTTCCTGGAAAGACAATTCCAAAAGCAAGCGCAAGAAGCCTGGTAAGACCAAGAGAGTACTCCTAGGTGGAGCAATTGTTGGCGGTATTTGTTACGCGGTTGGCGTAGTAACAGAATTCTTCAGAACTGGAGGTGTAGATGGACAGGGACCGCAGGGTTTCTGAATCTTGAGAAAGTACTAGACTTCATGGAGGACGTGATCTGAAAGTGGCATTAGCTTGATATTCCGTTTTTGTATGATGAAGGGAAGGATAGGAGTTTCGGCAATGAGGTTCTTGATGATATTTAAGTTGACAAGCATCTGGTGTTATTAGGAGGATGGATATGCATTGCGGATCTTTGGTCAGGTCGTTTATATTCTCATTTGCATAAGCCTTTATTTCCTCTCCTAACTGTACCTTTATATCATATTAGCCACTTGATCTGATCTTGATGTCATTGTCATGTATGTCTGCAATCTGTATATCATGTGTTGGATATCTGGTAAACAAAAACCATTTGTAGAGATTCGCTATTCAAGCTTGAAACAATATCACCAAGTGAAGTGAGAAAGAAGTTTTGTTACGATAGAAGCCCCCTGATGAACAAATGTTTTGAAGTTTATTTTTATTTTTAGCAAAACCCCACTACCCCAGGAAATTAACTACACAATCTAACCATAACCGGTTTGGGCTGTGAGTTTGCCCTGCCTCAGACTTTCTTAGTCATCATCGGTCACATTATCTTTTGATCTCTCAATTTAATCTCTCAAACTCTTTCTTGGCTTTTCATTGGGTTTACGTACAAAACACATAAGATTTCAATTAATTCTATTTTTGTTTTGAGAATCACTTGTATTCTTGATGAATTGCTGAATAGGGGTAGTGATGATTCTGCATGTTTGCTATGCTTTATGTTGCTTTATCTAGTGAGGCAAATGGAGATCCTGAAAAATGATGGGTGTTGGGCATGAGGGGGAGGTAATATTTTGTTGTATGGAAATGGTGCTTCAAAAGATTGTTCTGGGTACTGGTTGATGGGATGGGCCTGCATACTTTTCTACACTTCAACTTCCATAGGCTTGCGGCAATCATCATCACAAGAAGGTGTCATTAACACAATGTCAAGAAAAGACAACTGAGTAAGCTGCATCCATTGCAATTGATTAATTAATTCATAGCCTCATTCATTTTCATCATCCATCTCAACTCTCATCATAGATATCCCTTCCCCATCCATCCATCCATCTACTGAACCATTCCCTGACTAGTTCTCCACGTCTGAATCTCATTCTCAGTAATCTCCCTCAACTTATTCACACTAGCCGCTTTTCCCGTGACAACGCCCTGCGCTATCTCCGCTCCTCGCGCCAAGAAACTCTTGCGCACAATGGCATATGTCGCAGTCTTAGCCTCTACCTTTATGACACCGATACGGGGATCGTTGGGACCACCATCGTGAATTCCGTCGCCAAGGTCGCCGAGCCAGGCTTTGAGGGAGGGGGAGTAGTATTTCTTGACGGTTTCGCGGTCGGTTTCGATGGAGGAGAGGCCTAGGGGTGGAAGGTTAGTTGGGGTTTGGGAGAAGATATAAGAGGGATAATGGATGTGGGGATGGATGAGAAAGTGGGATGAGGAAAGGGAGGGAATATAAAATGGAAAGAGGGAAAGGACATACCAGAAATCGAAGCCCATTCACCCGAAGAATTCAAGAATGAAATATTAATATGAGAATCCGAAGCCAATTCATCTGTCTTTCCAGACTCAGTATTGGTGTGGAAAAGAAGAGTGACTCCACCATTTTCCTATGTTTAATCATCAGATTTTTAAGTCCCTGACCGATCTCTACCATGCATGACAGAAAGCATGTAAAGAAACGAAGGAAAGGAAAACATACCTTAGCAGCAACAGCCATACATCTGCTAGCTAGTGCACCGGTGTTTCCATCTCGAGTAGTCATCATACCGAATTTGCAGGCATCGATGAAAGTGTTTAAGTCCTCGACTTTTTCTTTCAAGGAGGGGGTGTCGAGGTTCTTAGCTTTGTATGGGTCGGCGTCTTTGGAGCCGGTGTCTGCGTTGGAGAAAGACATTTTGAGTATGGGTGTTATAAGGTTGTATTTGGAGGTTTGATGTTGAAATTGGGATTGGGATTGTCTGAAGAGAGATGAAGGGATTAATTTGGTGGTCTTGGGTTGGAAGGCTCTGGTGGTGAGAACACGGATTGAGGGACGCATTTTATGGTTGATGTATGTAGGGGGTGACGTTGAAAAGGGAGGTATAACTTACAAATTGTTGTTTTGATTTGACGAAGTTTATGATAGGAAGGAATCACTAGAAGAAGCTTGAGTTGATTTGTATTAAAAGAGGTTTAATAAAGTAGTCGTCATGGAAATATTGATCAAACATTGGAATGGGATCCTGGATTCTGGATTCTGGGTTCTCACTATACGTCATAACTATTGCAACATTCATCTACCTATCACAATAGCGGTACTTGACTAATCGATTTGTTGAGATTGCCATGCTACGCGAGATGGATTTACATCGAGATTCGAGCACGTGAAATGGTGGATTGATTGCATTTCATTTCTACTTTAGACTTAGCAGATTTGAGGTTTCATATCAAGGGTCGGGAATGGAAAAGGTTAAGGGGTTGACCGGAAAAGTAGTTCCTGTCCGCTTCAGTCATTCCCGTGTCATAACGGGAGAGTGGACTCATGCTGTTGATCCCGCTTGAGAGTCTGGAGGTGCATATGACGTCACTGTGGCTGCTAGGGGTGTGGCGTGAAGTGTGAAGCGATGTTGAGCCTAGAACAATGTTGAATAATGCAGCTCACCGGAAGCATTCAAACCTCACCGGGGACAGATCCCTCTTCCGAAAACCAAGCTGGAGCTAGCCGGAAATCATACTGCCAATGATGAGAGAATCTGATTTGACATACCGATCTTGATGCTCATATTGAATGAGACAAACTCATACACGCTTGAGATTTCGTCCATAAACAAACGCAATCAGAATGAAAAAATGCTTGAAAAGTCCATCTTATTTGGCGACATAGTCAACATCCATATGCTACACAGATCCAATGACACGGCTGTTTATCATGCATGACGCGACTCTGAGCAAGAGCATCTTAACAGGTGTTACACTCGAGCAATTGGCCTGTCCTTATGTTCTGTTGAGCCCGGAGAGAGAAGCAAGTGGAATAAAAGAAAACATTCCAGAAGATGGAAGGGAATGAATATTTCAAGAGGCATCGACCTTCGGTCTCGTGGTTTTCTGGAAATCTTCATGGTGTATATTCCTGAGCAAAAAAGTCTGGTCGGAGATACTGCCGATGTATCTCGAAATACCGGCCCGAGACTCTTCGAGATTAACATTGAGAAGCTTCCGACATTGTCGAAGTAACTGAAGCCATGTGCATACTCGATGAATATCTTGATGTCACGATTCTTTTACCTGGCGCTATTATCACATTCACGAGTCTCAATTTTACTCCAGGCTGTCGACTCCTTGCTTCTTTAAGTAATTGAAAATGCATTTTCACTTCAAATGCCAAATCACTTTGGGTTGTGTTAAGGGGTCCTTACCATGCGTGCAGGTGCGTAATCTAGGTGTCAGTTTCTATTTCATTCGTAGATGTGTAGTCAGTCACTGAGCCACGGTATTGATTCTTGTTTTGGACTATGCTAGGCTTCTGACTTGGTCCAATACATGTGGTTAAGCGAGCTAGATCTCACTTTCTCATTATTGGTATCATCAAGTAAAGTTACTTCCTAAAATCAAGTGATTTAAAGAAAATTCGAGGCTTATTTGAAGGCCCCGTTCAATTGACTAAGTAATGGGCAAGAAGTCTTCGTCAAACAGATTCAATCCAAGGGTCGTTTGCTTGCTGGTAGTAATCAATGTAAGCCGATGGACCGGAAGTGGTGTGGTTAGCTGCATTGTTCTTGGTCAGTCGCGTAGCCCCTGACTTGTGCTTGTGTAGGCTCTAGTTGCGTACCAACACTAATTGATAAGCGTGGGTGGCACGGAAAAGGTGCAGGATACTCTCTAGGAGATGTGGAACAAAGAGATAGGATCAAACCCATAGTTCAAGGTATATCTAAATGTAAAGAAAATGATCATTATCGTCCACTAATATGTGAAGAATGGGACGAATTGATACATAATATCTCAACTTGGTTTGGTCTCACCACGGTTCCCAGTGTTCAAATTCATCACTACTTTCTTTATCTTCTACCCCTGAACAGTATCTCACTCGAGAGTGCATCATAATTCATGTACCTGGAGTAAGATATTTGACTTGTTGATAGCACCTTTTCCTACGACACATACCCCTTTGCTTCAGAGTGACATAACCATTGGATATCTCAACCAACGAGACTTCTCGATTGAAAATGACTTCATAATGAAGTAGAAATATTCAACTATTATACGTGTTGGCCTCGGTCTGACAAATTATGAGACAAATATAGCGTTCATTGGAAATATTGCAATTTTTGAATTTTATGTCGAAACATGTCTCCTTGATGATCGAATCTAGATTGCGGTTTTAACACTTAAAGATAACCGTAGCTTGCTGGAAAATGGCAACAATACCATTGATAACACAATGTGAGAAGCCCAAGAGCAATCTTAATGCATCGAAGCCATCAATGTTCAAGTCCTTAGACATGTCGAGCCAACGTCGAAGCGGAATCATGCAAATACTTCATGGTGTATCAATCGGATGACTATACGCGCGTACAACCGGTGGAACGGGGATTTTAGCAGTTGAAAACGCAGAAATTGGTGCTCCTTCATCGATGACCTGCGACTGTGATACCTCGAGCATTGATACCTCGAGAATTGCGAAGAAATACTATCAAAAGAGAGTGAATTCATGATATAAAAAGAGAGAAAAAGATGCAGAATGAAAACACCTACCAGAATACGCGATGATATACTTGGAATCGCCGAAGACTTTCGATTGTCGTTCGCGTGGGTTTCGACGCCTTTTAGACCCCCAAACTTGATGGCAGCTACACACATACTTATCACTGTATGAAATCTACCGTATGACTTCTGCACTTCAGATTGCGAATGATGCGAAGTTAGATATGACCGATGTCTGAATCCTTCGCGAAGGATTTCATAACTCTCGTCTTTTCGCTCTTACACTATTAATCATCAAATTCGCTTCGGTAGAACTGAATATGCAAGCGAACGAGACTCTCAAAATGATGGTCAAATGGGGACCAAATGAGAGCCACAATCTTTCGGAAGGATGACATTCGCACCTTCGGCTTTTTGCTGGTGGACTCTCCTTAACCATCATTTATGACAATCCTGGCGATTGATACAAATCAGCAGAGTTATGCGGTGGTAGTAGATCTAGCAAGATCCTTCGTGTATTCTGTGTATAACTTCATATTTGGTATAAGTAGACTATTCTTTTCTCAGGTGTCTTTTTCATCAACTCAATCACAATCTACCATTTCCGTTGAAACCACCACAGCAACAACAATGTCTACTATTGTACCACCTCGCGCCGTAGTAACCTCACATACTGCCTCTAGCACCGCTGTCATCTCTTCCGATTCACAACTTCCTCTATTCCATCCTTTCGGCCCTTCCACATCAGGTCTCACAACTATTCACACCCTCCCCTCTCTCCCCGCTTCCCTCACCACCCCTATCATTCCTACCGCCGAACAATCTATTCCAAGCCCCCCTCCCGCTGGCCTAGTCGTCTGTACAATCGATTTCCCACCCCGTTATATTACCCCCACCCATCGAACCATCACGTGTGACTACATGATTGTCATGAAAGGTGAAATCGTACTTCGTGTTGATGAGGGAAAGGAAACGATTTCGAAAGAGGGAGATATCTGTGTTCAGAGGGGTACGATGCATACTTGGTAGAACAGAACAGATGAATGGTGTCGTAAGTTTAAAATTTTGTAAAAATCTTGGGGAATGGAGACTAATTATACGATAGGATGCTTGGGTATTATTACTGGAGGCGAAAAGATTGTTACGGCGGATAGCCATGCATTGGAGCAAAGTTTTACGGCGCCAAAGCCAAGGAGTGGGTAATTAATCTTCACGGGGTTGGATTTGAGGGGGCGAGATGACAGTGAGGGGATTCTTTTGGAAGAGATGAGCATCATGGGAATATCACCGAATAAGATAGGAAGTTCTATTGATGTTGCGAGGAGACTGCAGCTTTGCCTTTTGGGAAGTGTACACACTGTCGTTACAGTTAGCACTTTCGTTTGCAACCAACTTGATTGGATTATTCTTCTGGTATCTGCTTGTTGAAACGCATTAAACTGCCCATTAATACTGTGTCACTATCACGAGAGAGCAGGTATGAGGGTACAGACTCTTTTCGATCTTATACGATGTTGAATCGCCTGCTATCCTATCTTGCGCTACCATCAGTTCCATAATCGACGTATCTGATAACCATCGCCGATGATATTGCAGAAGGTGAAACCGAAAACGTTGCCCAAAAATTATCCAGATCTTTCAATTCCGTTAACACACGACTTCGTCTAGACCTTTGAAACAACAATCTCTACCCTCCATGGCGCTTCGAAGAGAGGCTTGAAACTCTGACATCATTGTGATACTCTTTTTGTCTACAGAACTATGTGGGATGTGAACTATGCAAGGTGTTATTAACTTCGTATACGCTATCAAATATCCATACTGTCAGGCCAGAATACCTTCATCATATGAAGATTATACACTCAAATATTATATACTCCAATAGCGAATTTTGAACATCCAATTTCGTGCAATTCTGTGAGTTTTACGAGTATAATGAAACACACATTTGTCGATCTGCTACATCCGAGTAGATTAACTTGAGAGTTAATCGATCCCATGAAAAGAGTTATGAACCTTACTGATGACGATGGCAAGAGCTATATATTGCCTGACCATATCGCTAATCAAATCACCCTTAATATTCAAATATCAAGCGATTTGTAATATCACCCCCTATCCAGTAAATAGAAACAAACTTCCATCAGCTGATCAATACTGGCCAAGAACAGTATAACCTCGATAGAATACTAGTGTATCTTGAGTTCGAGGTGAAAAGACTAGTTCTATCTTGATATTGCCGAGGAAAAACATCAGTTAGATGTTTCTTTCGAGTTATCATTTTGTATTCTATATATCGGTAAACAACCTCTATTATCCAATACCTCATTCGATTAGCTGTTGTCTTACACTTCTCGCGTAGTTTATATACCGGTTCGAAGCAAATAGTCATCTCATAAATCTTCCCTCTTCGTAAATTTTACACTCCTAGGATTGGAATTGTCAGTTACGAATCATGATGATGTACCCTGCCACCCTATTTCTGCAGCATTACTATTCACTACCTACTCGAAGAGAATCCATACACGCATTTGCAATTCGCAAACGAGCATCAGTAAAAACATTTCTGCTATTGATATATCAGTACAATAGGCATGATAAATTCAGAGCTCGGTTCCACACCCAGCGAATGAGTAGTAAACTATCCCGTGATCTATTTCCTGTCACTCGAACACCTCTGGAGCCAATCATATCATGACTTTCTCGTCAAATCAATCATGAACATCATGGATGAAAACGAAGGCGTTTAACTAACTCTAAGGCTAGGGAATAATTGCACTCCATATCCACCATCCTAACATCAGCTCAGCGGCAAACAAAATCTACTCAAGTTCGAACCTAATCAAGCTTATGATCAAGACAGTGTGCAGGAGAGTCTATTTACACTCGATACACTTGAATCTACAGCCAGGGTCTACAATAGTCTCCAAGCAATGCCTTTATACCAAATCTTCCTCTTCTTACCCACCCATACAAAGTTCCGCAGCGTACACTTCCTCTAGACTCGCACTACTTGAGTAGAAACCCTCCATCTAGATCAACCGAGGATATCGACACCTTATCAGTCAGTACCCGTGACTGTATTATCTATCGACGTTTTCATAATAAACAGCAACAGACGAGGTAAAAATAACACCAACACAGCATCCAATCCCACACCAAATAAACCCACCATTCACCAACAAACCACTTCCAATACCCATCCCATAAACCGCATAAATAATCTCTTTCCCATACCATCCATCGATACAAACCATTCCACATAATTCCCCACAAACCCAATCCCAAGATATGAATCCAAAAACGGCGTCCGATAGTTCAAGTCGAAGATACACACTATGTATGCGTGGTGCGTACAATCTCGAATTAGGAGAGTGGAAAACAGCTAATTCCATGTACGAGTAATTGCTCCAGCGAGTTCTCAATGATCGATACTTGACTTGACTCGACTTGACCTTCCATTGCATGACTACTACGAGTACATTATACAGCTATTGCCTGCCACTACTCGAGTATATACACCCCCATAAAATCTCCCATAAACCCAATAAACATAAGCCCAAGCAACAACGAAAATTCGCAAACCAAGTCGTTCAGTCAAGTCTTCTCACAATCCTCATTCCTCATTCCTCAATCCTCAATCATCGATCACCTCGTCAAACAAACCAATAGAATAGCAACCCACCCTAGTCCCAGGTCCCAGGTCCCAACCAGTCTCCATAAGAGAAGCCCAACAACCAGATACATCACAACAAACTGGGGCTGGGACCCAGATCAGGTAAACAAGTGAACAAGTTTCTCATTTTAATACAATACTGTAGTGAGAACTCTGAACTATTATTTATATTTAGTTATCGGTTCATCATACACTAGTGTCGTGCCTCGTGTACTGTTTTATCACTATTGCAATACAAAACATACTACTCGAGTATTCCGTTCCATATAATCAGCAATCAGAACTCAGCTCTTCTCTCCCAACAGCCTATTCAAATTCAAGCATATAATACAAAGCAAGCAAACAAGCAAGCAAGCAAGCAACCAACCAACCAAACACATCATCATCATCATCATCAAAAAAACTAGCCAAAACAAAGCAAAGGTAACCTCATACTCACACTCAAACTCATCATCATCATCATCAAAAACACTAGCCAAAACAAAGCAAAGGTATCCTTATCCTTGTACTCATCCTCAAACTCACACTCAAACTCATAACTACCATCTACCATCTACCATTCATTCATTCATTCATTCATTACAGCACTAACATCCACCAGACGATAAAAAATGTACAATATAAAAGATAACATAACAAAACATCAAATAACACAACATATATAAGATGATATTTATTCATTCACTACATCTCCATCTACCTCTCCCCCTCCCCCAACTATCCCTCTCCAACCCGCCTACCATCTTGTGATTTTCAGCTTATCCCGACCCTCACCCTCACCCTCACGAACCACCACCGCCTCCGCCCCCCTATCCATATCCTCCCTCCTCCCTCCTCCCTCCTCCTCCTCCCTCCTCCTCCTCCCCCCTCCCATACCCATACCCATACCCATACTCAAGCACACCACACCTTCCTCTCCAAAATAATGTTGGTGCGCTATTAGGTTCTCCTCAACAAATTTATGACTTGGTTCTTTCGGAGAAGACACTTGCCATCTCTTAACATACGAACAAATCATCATTATTTCCACCAACACATGTCACTCAAGCACAGCACCACCAGTGAACATATTAATTCATAAAATCTTTATTATTAGACTTTGGATACACGCAACTTTAAGACAAGCGCACAAAGTAACTCCGCTGCTGTAGAGGAAAACAGAGAAAAGAGGAAATAGCCTGGATACTGAGTACGGATACACCATCCCTGCTGCACACTCCCATAATTTCCCACCCTTGTCCTACCATAGAGAACCAAAAAACCCTAGACGACCAATCATGATATAAGCTACCCGGATATATGTAGTCCTTTGGCCTATTTCATCCTTCATTGACTTTTCACCCTGTAAAACTCGCTTTGAGAGTAATCACACCTGCATTTTCCTGTCCAGCTCAAAATATCATCCTTCCGTGTTTCACCGACACTTCCAGAGATTATTAACTGAAGACCTAATCTTGTATTTGACTTGGTGTAGTTATCGTTTATGAAGTCTTCTTTTGAGCTGGGGGGGCACCACCAACATACTTTCCAATGTCGGTGGCATCGTGGAAAGCTCTAGCACCACCCTTGAGACCTTCCCAAACTTGTCTTGCTGCTGGAGGAGTAGATTGAGCACCGACAAGACTATCAACCCTTGACTCCAATTGTCTGAATTGTGCTTGGACAAATGCGCTTTGGGCAAATCTTGAGCGAAGGAATGCAGTGTAGATAACAATTAAGATCCAGGCACCCGATTGGAATGCGATAGCAGAGAGGGCGATACGACCCCAGAGGACAATCTCAAGAAGAGCAACAAGTCCCATAGATGCGTCATAGTATTCCTTGACGAACTTGCCGATAGTATCGGCCATAGCGTTTGGCTTGGGAGCAGCCTTAGGGTCGCTACTTTGTGGAGCTGGTTGAAGAGTTGGGATAAGGTTGGTACGGGTGTAAGTTGCGACGTGGAAGACAGAGTAGACACCGAATGGAAGCATGGCAAGAGGGTATTGTTTGGAGAAGAGCCATACGAGTGCCATAGCTATCATATGTTAGCTTTCAGAATATTAAGCTCGTAAAAAACTACGTACCCAAATATTGAACATTTTCATCAGCAATGAGAGAGATCAACCCAGCTTGGTTTGCTCTTCCAGCTCTGGCGCGAGCACGGAATGCCTTATAAACCACGATGCCATAGGTGACAGCCGCAGAGATGAAGGCGGTACGATAAGAAAACGTAGCCCATCTCGAGTAATAGTTGAAAGTTATGTATGAAAGACCATATCTAAAGATACAGAAAAGGAGGGATAGATGTCTAACATCACAAGTTAGTATATACCAAAAGAAATCGTATGTCACAAAGATGCGCAAGTAGAATCCCAAAGGAGTGTTGAAGCTATCGGAAAGCTGCCAAAGAGACCAGATATCATCCAAGCTCCCAATAGCTCTCTTTGACGCCGGGGGAAAACAATAGAAAATTCGACATACCCGACGAACCAAGCAACTGTAGCATCAACATAATCAGTATATATCTTTATGCACATTTCGAGAGTAGCTTCAACTCACATTGCAATGTCTGCGCGAGTTGTATAAGCCTTTGCTGTAACGGCAAAGCAGCGGAAGGTGGGGGAGCCATTGTGAGGATATAATATGATCTTTTTACTTGATCGATTCAAGTATGTTCATTTATTACTTTATCAAAGTAGTTGTTTTGTACTTTGGATAATGTTGTTCTTGTTATTGTTGTTATGATTGTGTATTTGTATTTGTATTGTGATGATTGTGTGAGGAAAACAACTCGTATTGAGTAGTTTGAAGTAGTTGTCAACAGGTTTTTGGTTGGCGGGAAGAAGCTGCTGGAAGATGGATGGCTGGACTATGGACTAGTTGAAATCCCTGTACTGCGTCACTCAAGCGATTTTTGGGCTTTTGGTAAAAGTTCTTTCTTGATTCAGACAAATGGGGATGTTTTTCTTCTTTGTAAAGGGAGGGACAATTGATTGAATTTGTGACTGATAAGAAATGAAGTTAGAAAGGGATCAAAGTAGGTATATTATTCAATTAGAAGAAGTTATGAATCAATCCTTCAATTTGATTTAGTAGAGTTCTTATAATATATATTTTACTCATTCGTTTTTTTACCAAATTATATTTATATTTATATATTAAATCCCATATTTTATTTCCAGTTTTCCTTGGTTCCGCCGTCAACTCCAAACATTACATACCGGTACATTACATTTGTGGCTTTGTTAATAATATTAGATTGCTTTAGAACTTGAACTTGTTACGCCAAAGAGCGTCATAAGCTTCTAGCTTGCTTACTTACTTACTTACCTAGTTTACCTACCCGTACCCGTAAGTTGTGACCCTTCACTCAAAACAGGGTCCGCAAACTTCTCACTCAACAATGATAGGACGAATCAAAAGTAAGATTAATTCAAGATCTTTACAGATGTTCCATTCACCCTTAGACAATTGTTGAAGGTTGTAATTGGAACCTACATTCATGATGCTTCCCATGTAAGATGTATATATCTACCATCTACCTACAATAAGGTGGTATATTGGTATATTCCATGTCCACTCCTTAAAACTCCCAAGACCTCTCATCAATCATCGTAAGACTCCTAATATGCACTTGTCTTACATAGATACATCCCATTTACCCTAACGCCATATTATGCCCCCTTTGACCTTTATTTATCTTCGCATTCGTTTGTGATTGTGGTTGAATTGTCGATAATCTCGACCATGGCCGTGTCCGTGTCCATGATGTCGTGCATGATGTGGCTCTCTCAGACCTTGATGGGTCGGTATTGGCTCAACATGTACCGTCTCTTCAATTTCAACCTCATAATCCTCAAATTCATCGCGGAAATATTCATTGGCCATTTCCATCTCGTCCTTGGCTGTATTCGCATCCAACATAAAGCGCACCGTTCCATTTTGACCACGAATGCCTGTGGGTTTGTTTCCGCCAGAGCTTACCGATTTGGGGCTCATGTTTGCTGGTGATGCGACATGACCGTTGAATCGCAAGTCCGTTGGGCTGGCAGGAGTAACAGGGGTATTGGGAGCATGTCGCATGCCATTGTTTCGTGGCAGTTCGTAGAATTCGGTGTTGCGTGGTAACTTCTTTTCCTCTAGTTCTTGATTGATCTTGATCCGGATACTGATAAACTTCTCAATGTTGTGTAGAGGTCCGACGATAGACTGCTTCTGGTAGTGTGTATAAAGGTCTAATAGATCCAGCATGGTCTCCATGATTTCCGATCGACTAGTCCACCACTTCTTATAGCTTGGGCCTCTCCAGCCCTTTTGTTTCTCATAGATTAGTGTCGCAAGTTCTACACAAGCAAAGGACATGGTAGAACAAGTTTGCTTGAGAGGTGCAAATGTTCGATAGAGATCCAGCATGACCTGATAGGCGACCTGTGCAACATCTCGTTGAATTCCACCCTTCTTGACAAGTTTGATTAGATGTTTTTGAGGATAACGAACGCGGAAGTCGAAGCTAGACGCTTCGAGCATGAGACGTTCAAGGCCAATAACGGCTTTAGAAGGGCCCTCAAATATCTACTTGAATCAGCTAATCATCCATGATCATGTGGTATGGTAATACATACATTATCATCAGAGCTCAAATGCTCCGCAGCTGAATGCTTCAAATTGTGTGCGGCGCAAATAATCTCCTTGGATTTTTTAAGGGTATCTTCAATCTTGCAAGCCGTTAAAAGTGCAGCAGCGGCTGCATCTTGGTATTGATATTCGGTATCTTTATGAACAAGTCGAAATCGATGAAAGTAGGTGGCAGCAGTGCAAAAGGTCCGGACGGGTCTTCGGGAAGTCAGTATTCAATTTCCACAAACGTGAGAGTAACACTGACAGCTGTAAAGCAATTCTAACATCATTGATCCACGTCACTCCCTGCAATCTGAACTGATCTTCGCGCGTAGGATTTGTGCCAATGGTCATAAGTTTCGAATTGACCTGTTGCTGGAACATGTACGGTTTGGCGACTTGAATGAAAGATGGGTGAGGGCCTGGAGGATTGGCCTGAGCTGGTTCTGGAACAGGCGCCATTGGAGCAGGTGCCATTGAAGAAGGATTATGTAGAACTAATTGAGGATTATATGGAACAATAGGTGGATGCGGTTGAAATTGAGTCTGGCAGGGGACGTTCTGCATCTATGTTCGGTTTCCTGTCAGTGGCTGGTATAGATTCGCGTCCAATTCGGTGTAAGAAGTGACAAACGGTTGCAGTTATAGCCTTCCAGCTCTCCAAGTTTGACTGTGCAAAAATGGGGCGGATTCGCGCTGCAACTAGCGACGCGCTCAACCAATGTCTTTGGAATCGAGGTTCTGTAATCAGCCCCGAGTCGCAAATCGATTTTTTGATAGTAAATTCGTTCGGCACAGTTCTCATTTAGTTCCGGTGGTATATGGTTCGGTTACTCCTCCAAAGTTTCGCCCCTCCATTCGTTGCTTACTGGTCGAAATGGTGATTTGGTGCGAGATTTTGATGGATGCAAAGTTATGAGTTGACTTATTATTTCCAGACAAGAGGGACTGCCGCAATTATATAGCTCGGATTTACTTTCTTCCTCTCTACGGCTGAATATCGGTAAGATCTTACCTCTAAAGCGGCTTTGTGGGGATTGGGCCGTCGGTGATCTCGAAGGCTATGAATAACTTCAGCTGGAACATCAACAAAGACATCTCTATCAGCTGAAAAAGCAGACTCTATCTGCGAATCAAATCTCTCCATTACACTGTATCATAGTACTTGAATACTCTGCAGCTTCTGGTAGTTTAATTCAATAATTTACATAAGAATTCTCATCTCTAGACCTTCAACCTTTAAACCCATCACCAAGCTCTCCAAGATGGCGCCTATAACCAAAATTCTCTCGTTGCTCAGTAGCGCATCACTCATCAGCGCTATCGTCATTCCTGAAAGCACTCTCGACTTTCCCGTTGCACACGATACACACGCATCTATTTCCGATGAAAAAGGTCCTCTTCCAAGCATCTTTAACCTCACCCTATCCGGCAATGTCCATTCAACCACAAAGTCATCCGACGATGATGACGATACTCCCCTTCCCTTGATTATATGGCATGGTCTTGGCGATAACTACAAGGCAGATGGTCTTGCGCAGATCGGAGAATTAGCTGAAGCTATTCATCCTGGAACTTTTGTCTATAATATTCATATTGATGATGATGCATCTGCAGACAGGACTGCTACCTTCTTTGGAAATCTCACTCGTGAGTCGATCGATCTCTTGTTCCCTACAATCTCTATACTAACCTTCCTCCCAGTGCAAATTGAAAAAGTCTGTTCAGACCTCGCCTCCCATCCTATCCTCTCCACCGCCCCCGCCGTCGATGCAATCGGTTTCTCCCAAGGCGGCCAATTCCTGCGCGGTTACATATCCCGCTGCAATTCTCCCCCCATCCGCTCTCTCCTAACCTTCGGTTCCCAACACAACGGCATCTCCTCCTTCCAAGCCTGCACTCCCACCGATCTCCTCTGCCGCGGCGCTCAATCCCTCCTCCGTTCCAACACCTGGTCCACCTTCGTACAATCCCGTCTCGTACCCGCTCAATACTTTCGCGACCCTGAAAACCTAGATTCTTACCTCGAATTTTCCAATTTCCTCGCCGACATCAATAATGAGCGCATCCTTAAAAATAAGATATACAAATCTAACATGGAGAAGTTGGAACGATTCGTAATGTACATCTTTGAAGATGATACAACTGTAATCCCCAAGGAAAGCGGATGGTGGGCTGAAGTTAACGGCACGGAAATTACACCACTAAAAGAAAGAGCGATTTACAAAGAAGACTGGGTAGGATTAAAGACGTTGGATGAGGCAGGAAAGTTAATTTTTGAAACGATTCCGGGGGGTCATATGACGTTGGGAGAAGAGATGTTAGAGAAGGCATTCAGGGAGTATTTTGGTCCTTTGGGAAAGAAGTTTGGAGAGAAACAGCCCGAGGAAGGGACCGGGCATGAGGAGGAATTGTAAAGGGGTTCGGTTACATTGGGACATGTGGGATCAGATTGATTCGCTGTAGGATTGCAATTGGGGCCTGGAGTAAACGAATGTTGTTTGTAGTTTGAGATACTGGGTGTAGGTTTACGGGGTTGCTGGGCGGGCGTTTATCCTATGATTTTGCTGGTAGGGTTGGTTGGCTCATAATTTGTTATGCACCCAGAATGAAATTTATCCATCTATTAGTTAGTCGGCGTCCCCTTTTTTAAACTCATACTCGGCACGCGCACTTGTTAGATATACAATCCAATACATTTTCATTACAAAGAAAGATTTCCCTTTTTCATTCATTACGATACGATACGATACGATACGATAGTCTAGCCAAAGCTCTTGGTGTTAATGCGATGCCCACCCAAAGTAGGTCATAGTAAAGTAAATGCGAATGAAATTTTCCTCGCCATTACTCATACGCACATACAAGTACTTTTTACTCCAAAACGCCAGCTAGTCTGATGCTGATGCTGATGCTGAGATCTAAGACAGACAGGTAACTTTTCTTCTTCCCTTTGCTTTTCCATCTCCATCTTATTCCAGTCTCATTCTTTTCCAGTTTCAATCTTTGACTTTCGACCGAGAAACTTAAGCAGCAACCTTCTTGGCCTTCTTGGTCTTCTTGACCACCACAGGAACAGCAGCCTCCTCCTCGATCGCCTCCTCCTCAACCTTCTTGACCTTCTTAGTCTTCTTAACTACCACAGGGACAGCATCCAAGTCCTTGGCCGCGTCCTCCTTCTGTATCTTCAATAATTCCTTCCTCAACGCAATCTCGTCGTCCAACTTATCATCATTACTCTCCAACTTTTGCTTCTTCTCTTCTCCACCCTTTTCTTCAATCTCGCTTCCCTCAATGCCCCTGGTCTTCCTCTTCTTGTTCTTCTTCTCTACGACCCTCTCCTCAATCTCCCGAACTACACTCTCATCCAAAACATCCTCATCCTCAACCCACAATTCATCCGCCAACCAGATAGGCAGCGACATTGTTTCTGGACCCTTGACGTGGATTCCTCGAACACCTCTCCATTGCTTAGGAACGTACTTCTCAATCACCGTATTAACCACGGACTCCAAATTATCCGCCAACTTCTGTGCATCCCAACTCGCATACCCAATTCGAATCGCACTATTTGTCGAGCTGCTCAACGTGACCAACGCACTCGAAATCGCCTTTTCAACCTCGGCCGCAATCTTCTTTGGTTCCGCTGCCTTTGGTGCACCCTCGCCCTTGGCTTTAGCAATTTTCTTTCCCTCGGATCTAGGAGCTTCCGCTTGGATAGAAATAGGAATAGGACGCTTAGTCGTGGATTTGTAGAAAGTTTTCCCTAACAATTTGGGCAATAAAGTAATCACTCTATCATCTGCAAGGAAGATGTCATGTTCGGCGAACAATTTGCGTTGCGCTTCATATTGCTTGTACTTTTTCTTAATCTTGTCGACGCCGACGACTTTGATGATGCGCTTGGAGAGTTCGGCGGGGAATGCTGGGGAGGCAATGATATCTTTGTAGGTTCGTTGGGGATCGGCGACAATGAGACAGATGGTGGTGGTGGTGGAGGTGTTGAGAGGATGGGGAACGCTGATTTTGAAGGGCTTGAGCTTGGTTTTGTCGATGATGTGCTTTTTGGTGGTGAGGGTTAACCAAACGGGAGTGGATTCTGCATCGTCGTCATCGTTTTGGGCGAGAAGGTTTTGAGTGCCGGCTTTCTTGGATTTTGCGGTCTCGGTGGTAGTGATATGTTTGAGAAGTGCAGTAGATGCTTTTAAGACCTATGACTGTGTGAGTATGTGGCAATGGAGTCGAGAATGAAGAATGAAAAAAATACCTGTTCATGATCAAGTTGATATGGAGAACCACTCTCGACCTTTGTGGTCAAGGTGGTAGGTTTAGGTGCCATTGTTAAGAACTTTGCAATTGGCTAAATTCTCTTTGAGATTGGCGACTTCTTGATGGTAAGAGATGAAAGAATGCGCAATTGTCAATTCTTTCTTGTGATTGTTCGAAAATTATGTGCAAATCTCGAAATCTTCTTACGATAAGAATTTTTGCGATTCGATTTTGATAAATTTCTTTGGCGTCGGAATTTTCTTGAAAACTTTACCGATGAGGCTATGAAAATGCGTTGGTATGTGTTCTCGCTTCCCGTAGCTTATCTTATGATTATGCAAGGCTGGATGTTACGATAAGAATTTATGAAGCTGCTTTGTACAATTGTTATGAGAATGGATATGAATGTCTAATAACCTTCCGAATTGATCATGATCATTCATTCTCACCAGAAATATAATTCATTTCACATAGGTAATCTTATTCATATCTGTATTCAATAAACAACCAATATTACACACACTACCCTCAGCAACACAAATACCAACACCAACACCAACTTCCCAAAAGCCCCGAGTATATAAATCATGCACCTATG